ACTACTACTACTACTATTACTACTACTACTACTATTACTACTACTATTACTACTGTTACTACTGTTACTACTAGTGCCGCTTCTGGTACTACTACTTCCGCTACTTCTGTGATATGTGAGTGATTTTTCCATGAGTGAACACTGAATAAAGCCCGAAAATTACTTAGGCTCTGCGAGCTTTGCTAACAAGCCAGGAGGAACAAATCTTTTTGTTTTTTTGATTGTAAACTGTAAAGATGATGTTGATGATAGTAATAATATATAAAGCTATGATCATAAAAAAAATGAAAATTATAAAAGATTCCTATGAAACACGATAAAAAGTTATAGTCCACCGCTAAAAAATGCCTCACTCAATCTCTGAATTGTGTTTGTTTCTGCCATTGAAGTCCAATTTGCACTATTCAATATGCCGTTAATTTTCCCGTCAAATTCAAGTTATTTTTAACATTCAAGTTTCCTTTTTAAACATATACAAAATCCAGCTGCTATTTTCGACATTCAAGTATTATCAGCATTCAAATTTACCCTCAAATGTCAATTTCGACATTTAAGTTTTTCTGTTAAACATTATCTTGCTTTTAATTACCTCACTTTTTCTTTGCATTAAGATTCATTGCTAACTGCTATCAATCCGAGTTCAAACAAACCTAAAACAATTCAAAGTTGAAGTTTTTTCATCAGCAATCAACTATTCTCTTTAAGTCATCAATCAAGTCTTTGCACGAGCAGCTAAGTCTTTGAACAGTCACGTTTTCAATGAGTAATAAATTACTCGCTCAAATTTAAGTCTACTCCAACCCTCTAGAGGACTCACAAAAAACATATGACTTTTTCTAGAAGCGTTAACACATCTGTGCCACTTTAAAGAGTTATAACGCTCAAAGAAGCTTGTATATATCATACTCACAGTATATGTAATTCCTTGTTTGTCTTTGTAGTTGCGCCAATTCGAATTCCTGTATTTTAAATAGTATTTTTTGACCCACTGATCGGCGTCTTCTCTCCCTTGTGTCGCTATAGCTGTCAGAACAGTGTCGGTTGTATCGAAAACAATTTGCAAATGCTCAAAGACAGATAAGAAACCAGCGACCCAACCTCCGCTGTAGTTCCCTTGCCCTGTTAGGTTCAGCCTGGCCAAGCTTGCACTGGTGTAAGAATTCCAAGTCGAACTTGCAGTTACACTGATATTTGGGATTGCGCCACTCTGCATGCCCAAGGCACTAGCACAATCTAAATTATTTTTCAAAAAGTCAGATACTAAAATATGAGCAAACAGGCCAAGCCACGCAAGTAGCTGTACAAGATGTAACAACAAATCCAAAGTAATCTCGAAAGCGCAAAATCATAAATCGGAACTTCTCATTAAACATAACTATAGGAACTAATGACAAATCAAAGTAGAACTCTTTCAATAAATAGATGAATAAATAAATGGCATATAGAAGCAGTGACATGTAAAAGATACTGGATGGTTTGCCATAAGATTTAAGAGAACAAATGCCCCTACTGTCTCTCTTTTTAGATATAGACTAAAAGCACTTTTGCTTTCTCAATTCTCCTCAAGTAGTCACAATTTTCTGTGTTTTTCGTTTGTTTTTTAGAATGTGCTCAGTGTTTCTGATCATTATTATTATCGTTATTTGTCTTTTTTATATTCACTATGTTCCGTTAATAATAGTCCACACATGATTCCTGTAATTTTAGTCTTATTAAGGGGAGGGGAGGGGGGAGGGGAAAGCTGATAGTCATAAGCCCTAAGTTTTCAAAAGAACCTAACAGGAAAAATTTTATCAGGTTATTCATGTATAAATATTTTGAATACTTTCTGGCGAAATATATCTATCTATCTATCTATCTATCTATCTAAACTTTTTTGAATGCATATTAACCTTAAGGTTTTTACCTTCATAACTGTTTATATCACAGTTGGCGCCAGAGTATCCAAACACACAACTGCAGGTATAAGGATTGGAGTTGTTGTTGCAGGTACCACCATTCCAACAAGGATTGGGTGAGCAAGGATCCTCTGAGGGGGGCATCGTCGGAGTCTGAGGCCCTGACAGAGGGGCTGTAATAAAACATTTTTTAGTCATTATAATGGTTAGATCAAGTGTAGTGAATGTAATACCTAGCTGAAACAATCCACAAACTTGAACATTCCATACAACATTACTCTATATTAAGTTAGATTTTTGACGTCTCATAAGAGAGTTTTAAGCAAATACTTGTGATGTAACTACCTAACAAAAATTTAGAACTATCTGTCATAAACATGACAAACCCAAATGTTGCTTTCAATTTGAAAGAGGTCTCTATCGTTACCCAATCAGTGCACCACGTCTGGTTGGATCAAGACCATTTTTTAATTATTGACAGTATCTCCCCTTTCGTACCAAAAATGTAGCCATAGTACCCTCACGCTCAATTAATAACACATATATCTAACATCATAGACTTAATTGGAGTCGAAGTAGTCATAGCTTTTACCATCCACACATTCAGATTGCTTTCCATTATCCTTCAAAACGCACAGTTTCCCATTCGGACATTTATCCCAAGGGCATTTATCGTCCGCTGAAAAAGAAGATGATTTTGTTTTTCCTTTTTCCTTTTTTAAGCTGTGACTGTATGTGATTTCCTAAGCTCGAAAATTTCTTGCAAACATCTCTGAAAGACATACAACAACGTGCCAATTATCGTGATTTATTAACGTAATTTGGACTATATTTCAATGGGAGCGATACATAACTAGGTAAGTCCCAAACCTATGGCGAAATGCTCATTTTTTCCCTGAGAGATATATCTTAAGAGCCTAGCGACACAAATCCTTTTCGCTTCACATTAGGGCAAATACCTGTCGACCAGAAATGGCTACAAGAAAGTTCATGAATTGAGTCCAATTTAAATCGCGAGAAAATTATGATTAATTGGTTATTATGTTTGCCGTTTATGATTGAAACAAGGTCGTTCAAGCAGCGGTACAAATAATTCTCCAAGTCTCAAAGAAAAAACAAACCAAAAACAAAACAGAAAGAAAAGGCGTTTTATCAAGCGTCCTTTCACTCCACACATTGTAAGGTGCAGGAATCCTTAAAGATGGAGCAATTCCAGCATGTTCAAATGCACAATGTAAGCTTTAAAACCCGTAGAAAGGTATTAGTTAGCTGTAGCTTTGTGGTGTGTATAGCAATAACACTTCGTGAAACGTTGTGAAACTTGAACCATACGTAGGAAGAGGGATGACATAAGCAAGAACTTTCTGGAGGACTTAGTCAAAAACGTGAGCAAAACAGCAAAGCCGAAGAGGAAGAATTGAAAATGAGAAAGGAATACACAAATACCACCAAATTTAAATCCGTTACTAAAGCTTGTTAGCTAAACTAAATTATATCTCACCCAGTACACAGGGCAGCAAAACTTACCAATACCATTTGTACAGTAACGCCATCCTCTGCTGCTGCAGCCCCTTATCATAAACAGATCGTATAAATAGAATTCGCCGCAGTTCATTACAGCGAGGCTCTTTGTAGAAGAGCAATCGTTATTTCCTGTAGCCACACAGAGCGTAAGAGTAAGTTCGCCGACAGCGTATGACGGATGATCATCTACAAGGTAAGCTCGAGGGCCTGCATTACAAGTACCCGACGGAGGGAGACTGGACGCCAGGGCATTCCCTGCTTCTCCAGAAACTCGGAACCAGCCCCACTTTCCGTCTAAGTCAGTGGCATCACACTTATTTGAATTTATTTGCCTTGAACGATCACTTTCATTCAAAAACTTGTAAGTTCCTTCGCAAGGATTCCCTGAAAAAGAAAGAGGAAGTGAAGATCTTACAAGCAAATTTATCCATTCCACCTACTTTCCATATGGGCCCGATTCTCGCATCAATCCAATTTAAGAGAAATTGCCAATCATGAGTTTCACGAAATTTGCTCCAAAGGACATTTCGTAACTGAATTCTTAAAGGTTCAAATCGAGCCGACTTATTTTCTGAACTGATCCCAATTTCTAACAGATCAAATGAGATCGATGAATATGTTTCCATCTAGGTAAAAAATTATCAGTAAGCAAACAAATTAACAAAGTTCCGTTTAGTCAATTTGGTGCTGATTTTCATCAGCAAAATTTTAGACCGGTGGACTTTGTAAAGATTAAAGAGCTCAGCTGGAACCTACCACTCAATTAAACGCCCCACCTCTTTAAAAAACAACGACGGAGTTATCTTCTCGGTATATACCTTATCTGCGATCCATATGGTATGCAATTCTGATCGTTCATTGTTTTAAATGACCTATACATCCTTTGAAATCACATGGAATCACTTCTAACAATTTAAGTGCCATTTTGATACGTGATATCATGCATTCATACATCAGTATGTATGGACTCGGCTTACGCACGATTGGAAAGCTTTGAATTTTAAACGCAAGAGTTCCGTTGAAAAGTTTGTTTTTTTCTGTTCTTTGTTTTCATCGAAAGGATTCGTTTCTGAGTCTTCTGCATAGCCGAGTGGAATAAAATTTGAAGAACTAGCAATTTTAACGTAGACTTTTAGCGCTTTTTCAGCGTAGCTACTTTCAGTGCAGATGCATTGCAGGTGATGTATATAAATAGCTCTTCAAGTGCGTGTTGCGTTTTCATATTTCTATAGAAAGTGAGATTTAGCTACCATAACTGATGAAAGCTTTTAAAAGAATAATATCTTGAACATCTGAAAATTTCAGTTTTCTCTTGATCACAATTCGTCTAACATCGACTTTCACCTGCTCTCTCTTTCATTCGTCTTCCCTAACTTCCCTCGTTTTCTTGTAGATCAGAGAATTTGATTTATATCCCATACTTAAACTAAGATTTCTCGGCTTTAATTACGGCTATATCCTGATGAATTTAGTTTCAGTCCAGATGTCTATGATCTTATCCAAATATTTTGGAATAAAAAATAAATTTTGGTCCAGTAGAAATACCTTTGACACACATGAATGGCGAGAGCATCCATGCAAATCCGAGTAAACTCCAAAGTAGTGTCATCAGCATCTGCTAAGGCAAGAGATAAACAATATCAACTTCTGAAGTTACTGGAATCCGAAAGCATTTTTTTTCATAGAATATCTCACTTGGATTGGCTTCTCCATGACCTCTGCATTTGGCTGGTTTTAAGATGAAGCAGTTTGAATCTATAGCAAACCAATTTGTTGACCTACTTTTTAGCCTATCAAGGTGATAGTGTAGTGTTTATATTAGCTTAGTACTGAATAAATAAGTAGAAAGAAAGGTCAAAGAGCAATTTCAGATAGAAGTAGAGAGAGTGACTTGAAAACCATTGCAATATTTAAAGGTTGTGTGGACCTAAGCATTTTACAACGATATATATCAAGTTAATTTGACGTTTATTTCGAATAGTTTTTGCTTTTATCAAGCCTAAAATATATTAACAGAATTGAAAACAAGTTATATTAACAGAAATGCAAAAAACCTGTTTCTGACTTATATTTCGCAATTCCCTGGTTGCTTGCGTAATGGCATTGTTCCCCCACATATTTACAAAACCTCTTGGTGTCTGTTATATAAAATAATTCTTGATTACCCCACGCATGAAGTTTGCTTGCATAAGTAAGCATAGTTTTATGTCATAAAGCACGAAAGCTGTCGTAAAATTCAGTAATTCAACATAATTACATCGGAGAGTCATTGAAGAATGGGAGGTTATTTTCAGGTTCGTTTAACAGGCTACCGCATAATTTATTGTAGACTGTTGTGGAAGTTTCTGAATTTTTAAGCAAGACGCGTTAATATTCATAGAAACTGTTAAGTTGTTTGTGAAATGTGAGAAAAAAGATCGATATCTTCCAATAGAGAAAATCAGCGTGTTTCCAAAAATTATGAAAGCAATCCAAACCTCTTCTTACGGTTGGCTGTATTCGGTTTTCTTGAGAAGTAATTATATAAAAAAAAAAAATCGACGAATGTTGGTCATTGCATATTGAATTTGTCCTGATGAAAATGATATGCACAGCAAGACCAAACCATTTACCCACATAGATGCAAACACTTTTGCAAACTGCACTTGAAATAAAATTCAAAGTTGGAAGGCAAGATCAACATGATAAGCTGTTAGACGAAAAATTTCCATTTGATCCTAATTTCTTCAGCGTAAGCATAACAGGCAAACTTTAAATTTGCAGTTAATCCAATTACCTCACAGCATGCATGAAAGCTATACAAGTCAAAATAAAATTAAAAAAAGGAAGATATTTATTAACATTTTTTAATCCTGCCCTTGTGTGATGAAGTTGAAGTGTAACTGGGGTACTTTTACTCAAGGAATATATCGCACTTTCTAGCGGTTTACCGGCGTTACCCTACGTTAGATATTGGGAGAACACCTTTCTCGCGTCTTCCCCCGGGGAAGGGGAATGGGGAGAGAAACATTCCCCCCTCTAAACCGATAGAAATTGCGGTAAAATGTTTCATAAGATAAACTTCAATGTTCTATGGGTTAATCGGTGCAATAAACGAAAGTTTTGTGACCAATCCGAACGCTCGTAGAATCTTAGTCATTTTATAAACGTGAGTAGGAGGTACCTATTTATTTCTAACAACAATGTGGTGGTGAAGGAGGTGGGTCTTCCCGGCCACACTCCTCCAGTTAGTGTGTATAAAGGTAATAGATTTAATAAAAGATAAAGAAATATTCAGTGAATGAAGCAATATATGGATGAATAAATGTAAGCACCTGCAATGATGAGAAATAATATCAAAGCGGTAGCAGACCCTATTTAACAGAATAAAACATAGTGAAATTCTACTCGCACTTCACGGAAAACAGAAGTGTGCTAAGTGTGCACAAAAAAAAAAAAATATCCAGACTGGAGGAAGGGGGGAGAAACATCCCTCCTTTCCCGGTGAGGGTGATGCGCCAGAACTAAAAGGTCGAAATATTTCCGCTTTTACAACTTCCTGTTGTCCCAATCACACCAGAATGCCAGGGGAAAGAAGATTAGAGTTAATTAGGCACCAGTTTGGTGATAACGAAGAGTTTGATTTTTTGCAATGTAAAGAAGGTTTCCCAGCGAATCTAAAATGTTCTGCACTAAACTTGAATGACAATTTCAAAAGAATTTCGTAACTTCTCGCGGAGTTTTTACGCCAGTCTTCTCACGACTCAGAGGTCTCAGTCAATGATTAGGATAACAGGTTTTCACACATAACACAGAGTGCTACCCGAGGCATCCTAAGGTTTCTATCAAAGACCAAAAGATTCTTTGTCATATTTTTACACCGTCACGAAAACTCAGGTGTGAGGAAAGAAAGATTTAACACATCTTTCACCATTTTATTTTCGTTTTTAAATGATGTTTGCATTTGTCCTTATCTTTTTGCAAGTAGCTGTTGTTTTAAATGTTCAAATGCGAGAGCCTTTTCGCAATAATGATTTAAGACAATTACAAAACCTGCTAGACAAAGGAGCGATCAATAATTCAACGTGGCTATATCATAGCTGTAAAAACCTTTTTCAAATTCTTCTTAATAAACTCAAATGTTGGTGGAAGACATCTAAAATAATCAAAGCGAGATTCCAAACCTCTGAAAGGTGAGTTTGATGATAAATTAATTCGAATGAATGATAGATCTGATCTTATCCATGTGTTGGTTTAGTCATTACGCGCGATTGTAATCCAATTAAAATAAGTATTTCACTAGGCAAATATTTACAAACAGCAATCAAATTTTGTTTGACAATGTCTGATAGGATGTAAATAGTGTTAAGCTCGATGGTTTTGGTCGAAATTTTTCTCTGAATTCTCTATTTCGTCCAAACTGGAAAATGAACTCAAAATTTAATTTTATTTAATCTGCGTCAACACTTGAAAGATCTCCTTGAAGTTGTGGTTCTTATACACCTTGAAGTTTCTATGTAGTATATAAGCCATTTCTACCTAGCTTAAAAGAAAATCCAGTTTCTTTGTCACTGGGTTGCGAGTGTTTAGCTCTCTGATAGCTTTGGAAACAAAACTTGAAAAATTGAAAGTAAGACCATCAAAATGTCTCCTGATATCTGTCTGGCTTAATTCCAGCGAATAGTATCTTAGGCAGGATCAGAATTAAATACGTTTCTATGGCTCGAGTTACCTCTTAATCCAACAAGGAACAAGCAACGTCAGGAATGGCAGCCTTTTCAAAAAGCTGACCTCCGCGCGCTCATAGCATTGGATAATCGAGACAATGAAAACTTAGGTTAGTATATGGAGAGTACCAAGTGGGCCAAAACAGTTTCGTCGTTTTCAAACACTAGTCATCATGAAACGAAGTCATCGCAATAGTCGGTTCGTTTCCCTCTGTAATATGAAAAACAAATGGTTGAAGGTGATTTTAGGAGGCTTCGATGTTGCTAAGGTAACATTCTATCTAAGTGAAATGATGAAGTCTAGATGAGAAAAAAAATTTTGCAATTATTATTTTTATGCATGTTCTCCATACTGTTCTCTATACATTATTATTATTATTATTTATATTATTATATTACAATTATTATTTTTATTCATGTTCTCCATACTGCTCTCTATACATTTCTCAGGGTGCTGACAAGAAGAATTTTTTTAACAATCTAGAATTTCTTTGGTTGGCGATCATTTCCCTTATTGTGACCTTAATGTTTCATACAGGGGTGATATTGTCAGGAGAAATAAGATGCTAGTCACTCTTACGATTTAAAGGGTTAACACATGCAACAGCGTTTTGCTGTTGTTACAGAAAAAAGGACTCGATTGTTAGTTCGTAAAGTTGTTGCAGAGAACATTGAAAAGTAAAAATCCCACGCAGCAAATAGTAAGGGGCTTACGAATATTTTTTCCCGTGTTTTGCTAAATATTTGAAGGATAATTATCACAGTAGCCTCCTTTTGGCGCGAAAATATGCACGGATATTAGATCGTGGACATTTTCCGAGAGACGAACATTTTTTCCAGAACGAAGCTCGAGGCAAACTGTGAACTTTAAGGTTATTAGTTGCTAACATGCTATTGAGACAATAAAAATTCACTCTTTTACCGCTAAAAAGATAAAACTAGGTATTATTCTTACCCTTTGTCTAGGGAAAAATAGGATACCCGTTTCTTAACGGCCTTTGCCATCGACCTGTTAAAAAAAAGCGGATTAACCTGTTAACAGAGCAGTAAAATGTAAAAAGCACACTTCACTTTTAACAAAGTATGTTTGGCTCTAAGTGAAAAACGTGACACCTTCGTTGTTGCTAATCCGGAAAGGTTTGAAACGTTATGTGATTTTTTTTTTTCAATGTTTTTTCTCTGGTTAAATCTAACTTACAAATATGCAGAGGTCTGTATTTGTTCCACTAATCATAAATCCCTGCGTAAGGTTTGGACTGGCTCGTCTGCCTTTTGTTTCGTTGTGATTTCTTTTCTTGTTGGCAGGAATCAATAGCGCGAAAGAGGAGATTTCGCACATTTATTAATATAACGGTGCCGATCATGGGTAATGGAGTGGAAGAGGGAAGAATGGGAAGGAGTTCAGGAAGGGTTTGAATCGATTTGCACCAAATGTCACAACGCTCCGAGGCAAATTTAATTTTTTTTTTTGTCTCTCAAAAGTTCACCATAACTTCATGATATCTATTTCTGGATTTTAAACGTGGTATTTGTGGAAAGGAGTGTCCACAGTTCATGAATATATTTTTTTCCTTTCCCTTTCTAGAAACTAGAAGGTTAACGTACACGTACCGTCTCTTGAGACAAAGGATGATGATGAACCGGAGACTATTATGGTTGACATTACTGTTCGCAATTCTATGGCGTAGTGGTAAGTGTTCAGAGATAGGATACCTTATGAGTAGTGCAATAAGGCGAAGACTCAGGAAACAGTCCCCCCCTCCCATCCCTCGTATGCCTTAGACCGAAGCACCAATGGATATTTTATTTTTTTTTTACTCTTACTGTACCTCACTAAACCAAGGGGGAATACGCAGATACTGCTCAGCAGAGTGCTTGGAAACTAGAAAATATTTGCGTAAAAATTGTAATATATGTGTAAGTAATAAATAAGTAAGTTGGTAAAAATGATGGTCGTAACAGGAATAAAAATCTATCTAATGAAAGGCAAATGGCATTGCAACCATAAAGAATGTTAAAATTGTAAGTAATATTACTAATGTTATATTCTTATACCTCCCCATGGTAAGTAGTGTTCGTACAATTATAAGTATTTCTGGTAAAATAAGTTTATGCTGTTTGTTTGATTGATCTAAAAAATTAGTTTGCGAATTGCTCGTGACATAATTATACTTTCATTTCTTTTTTTTTCTAGTATATTCGCAACCTCTCTATAACGGTGACCCTCAAGGTCCAAGGCCTTTCTACTTGAATGAGCTTTTTGATCCAGCAGAACAGCCACGCCCCCCACCACAGCAGATGTATTATGGGAACATGTTCAACAATCCAGAAGTCAGGATACATCAAGAGTGGAACGTACCACAACCAAGATTCCCTCAGCATTACCAGCAGCACGTGCCAAGCATTGAGGATCATAATTCTTTGCCCAAGGTTTTGAACATTTCCGAAGGTAAAGCAATCTTTACTCTCTACATTTACTCAGCCATAGACATTTGTAATTGATTGACTAAGAATTCATATAATTTTGCAAGCTTGTGTTGTTAGTTCGCTTTTGCTTGTTCGCTTCCCTGTCTTTAACTTTAGTTTGGATTGTTTGTTTAACTATGTGTGCCCGTCTGTTAATCTGTTGTCTGACTCTCTGTCTGTCAATCGATGTGTTCCTCTTTTTGTTTACAAATTTGAATTTAATCGCTAGTAATTAAAATAAGTTAATAACTCAATTATTAAACTGCACGATTTACTTGAAGTTGCAGAAGTTCAAAACAGGACCGCGGATCTGCTCGGAAATGACACAGATGATGTGAATTCTGGTGTACACAGCGTTGTAAGAGGACTTTTTGGCTCTAAAAAAAAAGGTAATATTTCGTAGCCATTGTACTTTATCGATAAGCTAAGCTGCCTTGTTCCTACATAATGTGCATAAGCGTGTGATTATTTTAAATTGGCACAAATTGGCTGATAAACGGAATTTAACACCTTATAATTACACATAGGTAATTAGATGCATCGGCCCAGTAATTATATTAGTGCGCTGGAGCTTGGATCGATATGTCAGGCAAAACAGGCAGTTCTCAGGCAAAACTGAAAGTGAAGAAATTGGTGGAAGAGGAGAGGTTTTATGTTGCGAATAGGTACAATGAAACAATTGTTGACCACCTCGAAAATACACCAAAGTCCCTTACTAGTTAATTTAAAAAATACGGGATGTATACGCGAAATACAGTCAGGATTTAGGAATCCTGAAGGGCTTCCGAATAGACCAGGATTTCCTGCGAATCAAAACATTAAAAGTTGCAAATGAATGAAGAGACCATGTCTTAATTTCTTTAGTAACATTAAGATTATGGTGGCTTTGATTTTTTAAAAAAACATTTTTCGCTAATCATAAACGGGATTTGAAAGAATAACTGATAACCGCTCTCAAAACAAGACAAAGTATGTAAAGAAGATTTCACTAAATTTCCCTACTTCAATAACTAAGAAAATACTAGTTTTGGTGAGGACTTTTTTCCTTGTATTTGCGGTTTGCGAGTCTCCTGAGGTCACTCCTCACTTGATCTTTTCTCGCTTCACGTAAAATTGTTAATATCAATACTGGAAAAAAAATCATGTCCTAATTACAGTAATAAACAGTCACATTAATTGTGTTCAGGGTCGACTTCCGGTGGACTTGTAGTTCATTTCACGTTCGATCAAATCAAAGACAAGCTCGTTATTGACGATTCTCCAAAAGCTAACAACGGTAAACTCGTGGGTCAATACGCGCAGACTATGGACAGCCCTAAGTGCAAAATGAGTATCCGATTTGAAGGAGGGCAAGGACACATCGAGTTGGATGGAAACAAACTTAACGAAGAGAAGAAGGATGCGATGTCAATTTCCTTGTGGGTGCGTGTTGTAGATAACCAGCGTGAAAATACAATTTATGGTTGTACTGGAGACAGGGGAACCCATTACCTGAGTATCAAACCAAATGCGGCCCCAAATGCAGTTGTCAACTGGTTGTACAAGAAGCCTGATGGGAAGGTTGTGTTTCATGTCATGTCTGAGCCTGCTATACCTTCAGGTCAGTGAGCCTAGCTAGATTTGTAAACACAGCGGTCAAACGTCTGCGTATGCGCGAACTTTGTAACGACTATATGCCGTACTTTTAGGCGGTCAGAATTGACCAAACTTGATTAAGCTTTGTGTCAGAAAAGTCTCATCTTTCCCTTTCCCTAGTTTTGTTCCTTTTTACATACTTTCTATGAAAGTTTTAATTTTATTTCGCTCAATTATTTTCCAACACAACTGTTTTCTTGTAAACAAAACTTGCAACAAAGTGGAATTGAATTAGTCGTCGCCAACAGAGTATTGAGGAGTATAGAGAATTGATTGCCGATGAACTGCCAAAGAGGAGGAGATTATAACATAATTACAGAGCCGTATGGGCGGATCAGTAAAATTTCATTGTGACACAAAAAAAGGTCCACCGACCCCAGGTGATCAATATGACCGGTCCAATTTGGTAACAGTTAGAGGTCTCTGATTATTGTAATGATTCTTTTTCCCGAGCACAGATTGACTCTTAATCTTTGCTTCGATTTTACTTCTTAGGAATGTGGACTCATATAACTGCGGTTTACAATGCTGCCTTAGGAAAAGTAAAGATGTTTGTAAATGGTGAAAAGATTGTAACAACGACGAAAGATATTGTGAAACTATCCTTTGTGGGTTGGAGTACATCCGTAGAAATTTCAAAGTTCAGCGGAAATCCACTAGGTTTCTTGGATGGATCTATGGACGAGTTTCAAATCTTTACTTCCGCCCTAATGCACACTGAGGTCCAGGCCCTGATGGAAAAATGTGAATTTCCAACAGACAGTAAGTAATGCCCGTATACTTGTAAGAACGATCGCAGTATTTATTCTCCGCAAGATTTTAAAGACATGCGCACTAAGAAGCCCCTTCTCTCCTTCCTTTCACACTCCTCTCTCTCTACTAACCCACCCTCCTCAACCTTCCCCTCCCTGTGCCATTGTTCCGTTTTGCGGGAGTTGGGCTGTTCCTCTGTTCTTTTCTGAGGTGAATTTAGGCTTCTCCATTTTTTCTGTAGACTAGCATTCCAACCAGGAAGGGGGAGGGGAAGGGGTAGTGATACTCCTACTTGCTTCATGTTAATGAAAACAGGATAAGCTCTGGATGGGTACATCACTTGGCTAAAGTACAGACTTTACTTATGTTGTCTTTCTTGTCAGGTACGTTGTATTTCGTGGACGTCAAGACTGGACCTGAATCATTTTCCGGAACTCCATCTCGTGTGTTTTTCAAACTAATTGGGGAAAAAGGAGCTCATGGAGAAGAATTACTTGGAGAGGATTTTTCCAGAGGAAGGTAACGCTTAGGGTGAAAACAAATTTATAATTTAAGTAGCGGTTGCACAGCGACTGTTAACGTCCTTGCTCTCTTGAATTCGATCCCTAGCTTTGTAAATCTGTACTTTTTCAAACAAATTTCTCTCTTCAGTACCAGACAGTTTAATGTCTACTCGGCCGACGTTGGTAGACCGGTCAGAATCAGCATAAGAAAGGATACGAAGGGTATCTTCTCCACAGACTGGTACTTGGAGAAAGTAAGTTCTGTAACAATGGCAGAGACTTAGCCGGAAATATTGTCATCGTTGCCGGAACAAATAGGTTAAAATCATATTTTTGAGTTCTAATATCTCCCTGTTTTATTATAACTTAATTATTATAAATTTAATTTATTATAACTTAATTAACAAATTAACTTCAGTGTCGGTACTTAGCAATGCCCAAAGAAATATACCACCAGCCACCAAATGCAACACCTCGGTGAATAGCTTTTAAATAAAATGTGCGCAAAAAAATATTTACGTTCAATCCTGGACATGATAAGTTTTCTACGGCATAGGAAATGTTCCTTTTAAGTGATGCAAAACCTAAAGTAAAGGCTTCGTTGTCTTAATCAGAAGGACAACAACGAAACAATAAGATTAACACCAATGACAACAAGGTTCCTGCAGGATGTTGAGGATTAACACAGATAGATAAATAGATAGATAGATAGATAGCTTTATTAAAAATCACATGGCAGCCTAATAAAGCTGAATTACATGATTATTTACCTTACAATACTGGCTAAAAATTATATATCATATTCAAAGATTGTTGACAAAATAGTTTGAAGGTGGTCATTTTTTTATTCAACACTGTTTAGTCTTCGGTTTTGATTTAAGGTCATTGTCACTGTGGAAGATAGGACTGATGGACCGTCATTTATTTTCAACTGTAACTGTTGGATAGGGAAAGACAAAAACGATCTTCAAAAGTATCTCACTCCCGAGAAACATGGTAAGTGACGTGTTTCATTTTCATTCCAGGCGGAAAAAGCCAACATCGTGAATATTATTCGTATGGAAGTTATCATGCATTTCCCTAGATCTTGTAGCATATTTTACCTCTGATTTTTTTTCTCATTATTTTGGATAAATTTTATTATAGTGGATGGAAACTGGTCTCCCTGGAGTCAGTGGAGTGGTTGTGGTTCAGGTTTATGTGGAGGAAACAAGAAAGTTAGAACAAGATCGTGTACAAACCCCCACCCCACTGGGGGAGGAAAAGCTTGTCCTGGAGATTCAATTGAAGAAGGAAGCTGTCCAAGTATGTTGGAAGTTAAATCAACTTTCTTCCACTTTGGCTTTGCTATCCACGAATAAATTTGTATTGTGCTAAAAAAGTAAACCTTTAGGAATAAAATTTCTTTAACTTGTGGAGAATGAAACACTCGGATGGCTCAAAGAAGACAAAATTTTCTAACCAAGAAGTGAAGAAGTGATCCGCTAAAGCTTCAGTTTGTTTGCTTAATGTCCACCACTTTATGTATTTATGTATATATATACACATATATTTAATGCTCTGCCAGATAACTTATCAAACTCCATTATTTTATTTTCTTTGATCTCAAAAATGATTACTCCATATGTCCATTCCTATTATAACGGTCATTTCGTTTATCTGTACTGACATATTCTTGATTACAGTTGATGGCGGTTGGGGTGCCTGGGGAGAGTGGTCTGCCTGTAGCAAGACTTGTGGAGGTGCTACAGTAACACGAGTAAGAAAATGTGATAACCCTGCCCCTTCGAATGGCGGGAAGCCCTGTGAAGCAAAAGACGCTCAAGAAACCAAGACAGATTGCAATCAACCTTGTGAAGGTAACAGGAAACTTCAGGCTCACAAAAAGCTATCATTGATATTTGGGCTTCAGAAGTTTTTTTTTTTTTTTTCGACGCTGCTGTTTGCGAGAGTGTTAGGTTTGCAGACCAAAAAAGAAAATCACAAAAACAAAAGGGACTGTCTTGAATAACAATGATTTCAATCCTTTTTTAGTTGGCCCTTTGGATGGTCATTGGTCAGACTGGTCAGAGTGGAGTCCATGTGCAAAATCATGTGGTGGAAGCCGAGTAACACGAAAAAGAAGCTGTAACAATCCTTCCCCTCAGAGGGGTGGGGAAGAATGTCCTGGGGAACCAACTGAGACTGCCTTTGATTGCGAGACCCCTTGTCCAGGTACATATGTGAAGTGCATCATGGGCCATAATCATTTTCACGACATTGCATTAAATCTTATCCAATCCGATAATCATTGTAATTTTTTAAAGTTCCTGGTAAATGGGGAGACTGGGAAGAGTGGTCCGTATGTAGTGCAACTTGTGGAACTGGAAATAAAGTTAGGACAAGAGAATGCAACAACCCCGCCCCACAGTATGGAGGAGAGTGTCCTGGAAACGGCCAGGAAACGGAAGCATGCGAGATAAGGAAGTGTCCAACCAGTAAGTTTACGACTTAGATATTGATCATAATATTACAAATGCTCCAGTCGTCAAGCCGAGTAAACATCCAGTTGGGCAATAAAGCAGGTTTTCTACGAACAGAAATTATACCTTTAGCGAGAGAAATTATAATACACACGGAACACAATAGAACTTACCGACTGTTTCGAGTTTAGAGTGACCATAACTTAACCATAATTATGCCAGTACAAACATAGAGACTAGTTCCTTTCCACAAAACATATGGTCGATGTCCCGGATGTTGACGTCAAAATGCAGGCACGCGATGGGAGCTACACATAACGGCAATAATAATATACGGGGAAAAAAAAAGGTTTTTTTTTTCATTTGTTGCAGTAAAATCAAAACGAAAATAACCACAGCGGCCTATCGGAATTTGGATAAATATCACAAAGCAACAATTATATACCATAAACAAACTTTCTAACGCACGGTAAAACAAGGGTACATGGGTGGAATGTGGAATTTATCTCATTTATAATTTTTTGACAAGGAGCTAAGAATTTTCTAGACCAGTCATGTGGCGCAGAAATTCCACGCTGCTTTCGACACTCAGTTGTAAATTATTCATGAAGCCTTAAATTATTGTAACGGTTAGGACCTTCTTTCGTAAACTTCGGCTGATAGGAAAATTCTTTCTAAAGATTCTTCGTGCTCTTTTGATTTTTATTTTACTCTGTTATCGTGGTTCTTCGCAACTTATTTCACAACTAAAGCAAGGAATATACTCTTCATATGCAATGTTGTGTTAATGCCGGTGTGTTGCCTTGGAGAACAAAATTCTTCCCTCAAGGTAAAATTGGGTTGATGATTTTTCCTCAACAGATGTAGTGAACGGAGCATGGGGTCCCTGGGGTCCTTGGGGTGAATGCTCAGAGAAAGAGGTCTGCAACAAAGGAGTACAGTTACGCACTCGCCAGTGTAACAACCCTGCACCACAGAATGGCGGTGATGTATGTCCAGGGACTGGTTCCGAGAGCCAAGAATGTCCAAAAACGAACTGCAAAGGTACGCTCATTTTTGCCTTTAAACAGAAGAACTTTGTGTCTTGATGCATTTTAGGTAACCCTAAGACGTAGATGGTTTTGTTCAGTCCTGTTTTTCTCAGCAGATTTTGCGCAAAAAGTACGAACAAATAAGAACCTCTGCACTCGGAAAACGATCAACCGCCTAATTCTGCTTGTTCAAATTGATTCAATAGTTAAGTTAATATCGCGACAAGCATCTCATCTTAAAGTAAACGTAAGCTTACGGTAATATGTGTATTCTCCATACTGCTCTCTATACATTTGCTAATTCACAAGACTTTTTTTAGTTGGCAATCATTTCCTTTTACCCTTTGACCTGAACGTTAGACTCAGGTGTGGTGCTCTTGGGAGAAACTAGATGTGACACAGTATTTGTGCTTTAGGGACCGGTAATTGATTATTCATTGCCCAGGGTGGTCGAAGGATTTTGGCCTCTTTAATATTCTTATGAGCCTTCCATGACAATCAATTTTCCATGGTCCCCCTTTCTACTCTGCTAGCGAAGACTGATTCCCCCCCTGATCCCACTACAAACCACGTGTGAGATCCACCCAACATCTTTCGAGTCCCCCAACCCCTTCCCCCCCCACTAGGGCGGTTGAAGGATTTTGGCCTCATTAATTTTCCAATGGACCCCCCCCCCCCATACCTCCCTCCCCAATTAAAATCGATTTTCCATGGTCCCCCTTTCTACTCTGCTAGCGAAGACTGATTCCCCCCTGATCCCATTACAAGCCATGTGTGTGATCCACCCAAAATCTTTCGAGCCCCCCTCCCCCCCCTCCCCCTCTAGGTGAAAAATGCTAGTATCTAGCATCTGTGATACCTCAGCTATGTAATTTGTTTGTTGTAATTCATGTCTCGATTGTATTTTCAGAAACTCCTCAAAACACCGACGCTACAAAACCTGTTGAACCAAACTCATTCATAGCATTAGTGTGCAACTCTCAAAACGCCGAACTTCTCAGCGACTCAGCAAAAAACCCTTTAGTAGCAGCTGCATTTTCAAATCTCCCCAAGCTTGTTCCATTTCTGAAGGGCGGTTACTTTGCAGTTAAGCAAAATACAAAGGAATTAAATGAAACTTGTTTCGAGCCTATGAAACTGCTGACCATAGCAGAGCTGGCTAAACTCTATCCCGGTTTCCGCTCGGCCAAGCCAATGCCATTTTTCACTATGCCTGCGGACACTGAACACGTGACAGGAATAAAGGTTAATTTGAGAGCAGATAAAGCCTTATATGGAGGTGATGTTGCTAATTTTCTGACCTTTTAAAGTTCATATCTCTTCCCTAGCATCAAGCGTGATCGCAGCATCCCACGCAATGATCGTACCGGAGTTGGGAGGGTTTCTCGAAAGTCCTAATAACTTGAAGGCTTGGAGCCACATTTTAAGATCAAGTTTTAAAGAAGAGAGAAGCACGTTCTTGCGCCCTAAACAGACCATTTAGCTCCTTTAACTAATAGTTTTATTATATAATCATCACCATGTTTTGAAATCCCTATCTTAGGTGAAAACAGAAAAGATTTACGAGCCTGCTAAGTTACCTGGCCCTCAAAAACGCGCCCCAGGCCACCAGCGTTCAGTTTCGTCGCTATTTAGGCAGTTCACTCGTGATCTGCGTACTTATTCGCGTCTTTTTGATGTATGTTCTCTTCTTCTGGTAACACTTGGCAGTTGTGGACATTATTGTTTTGGTCTTACAACAATTAATAGAGAAGCACCCTTATCATAGCTGTATTTTCTTTTTTATCTTTGCAGTTGAATTTCTGTTGGATTCTGCGTCAGTTTATGCTCCAACTGATACAGTTTCTCTTGAAAACGTAATGTTTCTTTTCCGAGTATCTCCCGGAAAAGAAGAAATTGTGGCCCATGGTTTTGATGACATTGGGAAAGCTAAATTTGCTGTTTATGCCAGCTTAGTGGGTGAAAATGAAGTCACTATTGAAGGAACCAGCGGGCAAACTGCTACGTCGGGTAAAGCATGATTTCAAATTTGCAAAACTGTAACTCAACAAAATGATCTCTAGTATGACTTAATCACAACGCGAACGCTTCATATTTCATCTAACCTGAGAATGCTTCTGAAGAAACGGTGACACTGAGTTGATGGGGTGATAACATGATATTTTGATTTATCAACCGAGTTAAATACTGGTAATTGAATTGAGTGGAGTGCAATTTGGGCTGAAATCATATGCATGATTTGAAATCACAAGTATGATTTCAGACCAAAATTGCACGCCACGAGGTTCAATTACCACCTTATTGTATCCATTTTGAAGTCGCCCAAATATAGGACTTAGTCAGTTCAAATATTTTCTTGATGCAGTACTGAGCCGGTCTGAAATTAAAATTCTTTAATTTTTTTTTGGGGGGGGGAGTAAGAGTCATGGAAACAAAAGTTGCAAAATTTGCTACATGGTACTCTTTGTCTTTCGTTTTCATGATTGTTTATTTAAAACAAGCCTTGAAATCTGATTGGATGTTTTGTTTTTAGTGTAGCCTCCTCATTGGCTGGGAAGAAGATGCGATTTAAACCACAAAAATGTGCGATTCGTGAATAAATCGCACCAATTAGAGCCAATCAGATTACAGGGACCACCAGTGATATCAAAATGGGTGTAATAATAATGAAAATTGGACAATGAAGAGAGTTTCTGGTGGTGACGTTTCAAATGTAAGCCCTTTGTCGGAGCGAATGACAGAGGGCTAAAGCTCGAAAAGTCAGCTCTAGAAACTCTACGGTGACCAATTTACATTGTCAACTCAGTTGATAAAACCGAATTATCTTGTAAACTGCGAGTGACTAGCGTTTGAATCCTTAGGAGTACTCCGTGGTGTTCTTTCCCCCGTGCTCTTTATAAATGTTCAACTGAGCGTTTCTCTATGACAGCAAGAAAAAATGCAAAATTGCCGCATACTTTCCGCTACCTGTAAAGGAACCTTTCAACGTTGCCGTTCTAGGCAGTATATTGGGCGCATGTTGTTTATGAATCTAAAAAAGACCACTTGATTATAACAGAGGTCGACTACGGTTACCATATTTGAGGTAGGGTTCTTAGGGAGATGTTAGAAAAAATAACTGCCATACAGAGCTCCACCGCAGGACTCTGCATGGTATCATTGCCAGAGGACGTATCTGAGTTATTTATTGACTGAAAAACTCTACAATTGAAAACGCTTCTGTAATTTATTTTTGCCACCACGCAATTTTCACAAAACTCGATCTGCTTTGAAAGTGGAAATAGAAGACATTGTCTCCCGCCAAAATAACACAGGTTCGCGCCTGGCCATTAACACACTGAACTGGAAAATCTCAAATTTGGTAGTCATATTCGTCTTCCCAGAATTTCGTTTGCCAGTTTTCTCCATCTCGTTTTGTAAACAAAATCATCTCATAAATGCAGCTTTCGGCTTTCAACGTAGGCTCGTAGGTTCGTTTTCAGCAGAGCTCAGTAAGGCATTGATTATCTTCTATATTTACATTATAGAGGAAATTCAAGCTGCGTTGTCACCAAACACACCTGTAGCAAATGATTTCTCCTTTACACAAGTTTTGAGACGCGGAGTAAGGAACCTCGACTCAAAGTCTCCTACCGATCAACTTGCACCGTTAGAAAACGTCTCCAAAGATGGAAAATACGCAGAGAAAGCTGCGAAGATGAGTAACGGTCCTCAAAAACCCGACAGAAACAACATTCAACGAAGAAGGACATTTTCGAAGAAGAAAAAGTCAAGAATTGGAGAAAAACAGACGCGCCATAATAAATTTACACATCGAAGCGCGGTGCCATTATTTTCTTATGAGCCAATAAATGAACTAAGAGAGGAAATGCCAATTACTTATCCAAACGCAATGACTGTTAACCCGTTACATGCCATTTCTCCTCCGCTGAACATGGGGGCAACCCCCAACTTGAAAGGCTTGCAAGACACACCTAAAAGGTCCTTGAACTTGAACATTGACCAGAAAATACTTGAAATATTGAAACGCGTAAATTTAGGCCTAGTGACAATATCTGACTTGTCTTTACAAATCAGCGCGAGCATGAAAGAGGTTATTGTGCGAGTCAGTGGTAAGGTGGCCCCCAATGGGATCGGTGGATGGTTCAATTTTGAGATCATACGCAAGGATATTTTCGCTGTGGCTTTCACGACGGAGCAGGCTGCAATTGAAGATTTTGTGCAGAAGATGTTTAACACCAAACTTGGCGTGTTTGAGAAGTTAGAGAAAACATCAGTGAGTACATATTCCATTATTGAATTAATTTCGAGATCATTAACGAACTATGTAATCTGATTGGCTCGCAGCAGTTCGATATATTACGATTCACATTCACTTTTTCCTAGCTGGCGAGAATCAGGCGAACGATTTCCGTCCAAATTGACCTTCTTTGGTTTAATCCTTAAATCAAAGGAGATTCTTAAAAGCGTCGTCAAAGAAAAAGTCTTGTTAGGTTGAAACCAAAATTATTTAGTGACCAATCAGAACAGGACTGAATCACAAAAAGTGTGAAAAAGAAAGAAGAAAATTTAAAGCGGTAAAGCGCAAGTGTCTAAGTTATGAGTGGTTTTAGTTTCGCTTTTGCCTGGTTGAGAAGTGATGTGACATTCGTCAGCCAATCTGTGTATCAAAACCAAGATATTCCCATGTGATTGGCTCATTTCAAAATTTTAATAAACTGAACTGGCCTCTGATTGGCTCCTGACAAGTTACAGTAGAATTCATATGAGAACCAGGTCTGTTTTCCAAAACTAATCGTTGGCGGTTTCTTTTCAGTTTGGTATTTCCTTCACGCAGAAAGGTTATAAAGTGACACCAGAGACAAAATTTCAAAAAGAGCCTTTAAAATCTTTGATGAAAAAGGAAGTCCCGGATGGACTGTTTTTCGCTGCAGTCACAAAGTTTGCAGCGAATTGTGGGGATAACTCGCATTGCAAGTTTGGAAAGATACTGATGGGCAAAGATTCCTGGTTAAAATTTCATGGTGGCGTAAACAAAGCAGGTGTCAAAGTCAACGCAGGAGTTTATGGTATACCCATAAAGGGGGATCTGAAGTTTAACAAAGTTGAACTGTTTATAGAGGTGAGACGATGTCAGATTAACAAGAACTTTTATTTGCGGGGACAGAAAAAGTAAACAAGGTGAATCCCCATGGGTCGGTTATTTAAACAGAGCTCAGTCGTTGTTTAACAATTAAATCTCCGTTCTAAACCACCATCTTTAATTAAGCCGAACCTTTTATCTCAGCATTTATTTTTGTTATCAGTGTCACGAGGGCGGAAAAATAAAAGAGTAAGGACATTTATTGAATTAAATCAACCCTTTTCATTAAAAATCCCCGAGGCCTACTGTTTGCGTGAAGCTGCAGTGTGGATTAAACGACATGTAAATAACTGGCCCATCTTATTCTCATTTTCTGATATTACAGGGGGAGGGGGGAGATTTTTAAGTCGGGCCTTAAGAGTAAAGCTCACCTAGGCGCACTAGCTTAAAGTTACGTACTTACCTTAAGTTTGTTGTCCAATAGGAAGGATACTTTAATTGCTTGAAGTGAGCGTTCTTTCGAAGATAGGTGCCTTGGCCGTAATAAAGATCTTCCGTTTCTTTTAATTTATTCTTAGGTTAAATTTGGTACTGCACCTGTCGCCCCTAAAGTGGGCTTTGCTGTCGAATTAGACGTACCTGTGGAAGGCGAAGTGAGCGATAAAGAAGAAAAAATGCCGAGCACATCTCTTCAACTTGGAGGGAAGCTTTTCGTCACTGGGGCAGCTGAGATAGGAACAACTCTGTATATGAACGGAATGTGGAAAAAAGCATTTGGTTTAAGTTTCCTTAGCATTGGAAACATACAGATTGGGTGAGAAATCTTTTCCTAACATTTTTACTTTTCTGGTGACATGAAGGAGAAAGGCCGTCAGCCATTTCATTATCGAACCTACAATTTACCATCTTTCTTATTGTATCAACCGACCCCAGGCTCTCGACATTGGGATCCCAGCTATGTGCAGGACACTTATCACATATGAAATTATTTAAGGCGTAGTTGCGTCACTGTGGCTCAGTGGTAGTTGGCCTGCTCCAGATGTTCATTTAATAAAACGAGGCTCAATAATAAACGGCGCTATATGAGAAAAGGAGTGAAAAAAACAGGAAAGTTTTGGGTCGAATCGTGTAGGTAACCAGACCCAAGCCTCTCTTGTTCTCGCTCTTCTGCAACTACTACGCCGTTAACTGTTTAGCTCCGTTTTACTTACCGAACGCCTTGAAAATCCTAAGCTCTACAGTGGTAAAGCTTAGGATGGCGGAATCTAAGGGTCTGATAATCGTTTCCTCGTGGGGACTTTTTTCTTTGTTCCACGATCGTGATTTAACAGAAACACATCTTTTTTTTCGTTTTAATTTTGCTTCTGACTTTGTTTCCACTGTGAAGCACATGAATATGACCCGTAAAAGATTAATAAAAGGTGCTATTAGAGAATCTAACTCATTTAACACCAAAAGCTATCCCCTTTTTGTTTTTTAAGCATCAGTTAATTAACAGCGTTCCTCATTTATTTTCTTTAGCCTAACAATTTCACTTGCCACCGGAATTCCGACTGAATTTACCTTCAACGGCCGCCTAGAGATTGGGCACGACTGCCAAGGGAAGGACGATTTCAAAGCGGATGGTCCTTGTTTCTCCGGGGAGGCCCTAGTAGGAATAAGCGCAAACCCTGCTGGCCAGTATATATACGGAGAATTATCTCCTGTTACTATCGGGAAAATATTAAGAATGCTAGGATCTAAACTGCAGCTACCTCCACCTGTTTTGGAGAGCGGTTTTCCTAAAGGTTTAATAGTAAGTATGAAATTACAACTAAAAGGAAATGTATAGATGGAAATAAGAGAGATGGTAAGTTTTGAGCCCGGTAAAGAAATAAAGAAAGTTTTGTCGAGAGCGTGGGACAAAGAAAAATTCCTGAGTCCCCATGAGAAATCGAATCTCCTGTTTGTCCCACGCTCATGAAAAGACGAAAAAACATCTTTCTTTGAAATGAAATGTATAAAACCCCACGAATCAGAATTATCTTTTTACAACATAGCATCAGTATACGTATTCTCTATGCTGTTCGCTATACATTACCTAAGGTGCTGACAAGGAGAGTTTGTTTAGCAATCAAGAGTTTCTTTTGTTGATGATCATTTCCTTTATTCTCATGACCTTAAAGTTTGATTTAGGGGTGATAACATATGGAGAAATTAGACGCTGGTTACAAATCATATTTAAGTGAGATATCCACAACGAAGCCTCACCTTTACGTCTTATCGTGAGAATGATTAGACCAAACTGCAGAGTAACTTTTGTCTGTTTTGTATTGGCTGGTTTTCCCATTTTTCTATACTTGTTTATTCATGTGTTGCACGTATCTATGTCTGTTCGCCTGTTTTACCTAATTTTCGCTTGATGTTTTCAATTTATGATATATCTCCGATTTATGCTACGGAACCGTTTATAATTTCTTAAAATAACAAACTTTAAGCAAATTGTTTTTAGCTTTGACGTAAAACCAAAGGATCTCGTGTGTTTAAACACATCTTCTATACGTTTATCTGTAAGATTTCTGCAGCGTGGAAAGATCAGAAAGTTCCCTACGCTGGAGCAACAAAAGAGATAAAGAAAGGTGTTTTCATCAAAGGCACCATCAATATTTTGGGATTCGCGCCTTCTGTCGAAATATTACTCAGTAACGAGGTAACTTACTTTTAATGAAGGATAATGAAACTCATCTCCAATACTAATCTCCTTCGCAGTTGTTTTTTGGTCTCGTAATGTGCACTCTTTTCCCAACCAACGCGGTGGGGAAGAGAGAGCACGTCAGTTGCGTGGCGAGACCAAGCAACAGTTGCGAAGGAGACTACTCCAATAATGAAAGTGTGAAGGAAAGCAAAGTTTACATGCACAAGTAGATTGCAACCCTTAGGTTTCTAGAAAGGATCATTACCCAATTTCTCTTCACCATTTCAATACCTTACCCACCCAACAGGTAATAAGAGTAAACAGCCCTATCAGTTAGGAGTTGTTACACTGATATAACACTACAGGCTGCACAGTATTTTAGACGGAAGCAACACTCAGGGGCCTAAAATGATGAAGGAGATCATGCTTCCTTTGCTGTAACATCTGCAAATTGTTAGACATTCGATTCATCTCGGATAAGAAAAATAAATCTAAGACCCCGTCTCCTGCATCTTCTTTGTGCTTGTTGGCAAGGGATATTAAAGTACCCATACACTTTTCGCAAAAAGTAGGGATCATAGCTCTCGGCGTTGTGGTCTAGCATTCTTATTGTCTATAAAGGTCGTTAGATTTAAAGTTTAACTTAACCAGACTGTCTAATATCACAAACAAATATTGAATAGATGAATGTAAGAAGCAAAAAGGGGGAATGAATAATCAGATCACATTGATGTCCCATCTCTTGTTTTCTTGCAGCAAATCAAGTTTGACCTGGAGTTAGACCCTGTTAAGTTACTGGGTAACGTGCAACTAGTGCGCTCCATAGCAGACAAAAAAAAAGGACCAAAGTTTTATGTTCACGCTAAGCGGAAGCCACTTCAAGCTGAGGTGAGATTTCAACTTTCACAGAGCAGTTTTCAACAGCCAATTAGAACAAAATTAGCTCTCACAAGAAGCCGATGGGAACCCAAACAAACAAACGACCCTAACTGGCGGGAAAAAAAGACGATCAACCTGCAAATGGACTTCGTTTTGCTTCTAAACAGCCGAGATGGTACAAGGTTTTTTGCTAAACATTAAAGAAAAGTGGAGAAAAACCATTATACTTCCAAATTGCCATCGACACTCAGTTGAATGTCACTCTTTGTACAGGATATAATGTTAGAATAGCAAACTTTAAAGATAATAAGTTACATGAAAACATTTGTAGGTCCGCACTGTGTGCATTTATGCTGATGCTGCGTAACTGTTATTTATTGAGTAAATTTAGAGTTAACATCTGAGTTGAAAACGTAAACCGGCCACCGTAAAGAGTTTAAAGGCTGACGCTCCGAGCGTTAGCCCTTCGTCGCTCTGAAACGCTCGAAACGTCGGCCTTTGGACTCTCTACGGTGGCCGATTCACGTTTTCAACTCAGTTATTAACACTAAAAAACCTATTATACTCTCTTGCCGACGCAGCACCAGTTTCTTTAGAAACGTACACCCTTGATTCATTTGTCTCTTAATGAACTTTTTAAATCTATTTAAATCTTATATATTTCTACTGCCCCTATGCCTCCTTGGCATTTGATCTTAATGATCTGTTTGACAAGCGCTACCCACTTAATACAGTTACTTTCCAACAGATTTACATTCAAGGAGCCGTGGTTATCTTTGGGAACGAATTAGAAATTATGTTCAAATTCACAACGGAACGCATTGAGTCAGAAGTGGCTGTAAGCCTCTTTAACGTTTTCAAGGCGAGAGTCGCTATCGCGGCAGGCTACGGAAACCCGTTTGCTAATACCGGTTTTACCGCCAAGTTTACCATAGAAACCGGTTTTGACCAGCTTTCGAAAAAGACTTCTGAGGTTTTGGTAGCTGCTCTGCAGGCGGCAAGAAAAGCTTTGGAAAAAGCTCAAGTGACAGTGAAAGAAGCCAAACTTGCCTGCGAGAGAAAAGCAGGTAGTTTCTGCAACATCTGTGAAAAACTGGCATGCGATGAAATTACCGAGGAATGCAAGCACGCTATGGACAAGTTTAAGCACTATGTGGGAGAAAAAATTGACAAGTTCGGTAAGGAATTTATCCGATCAATTTCAAAATTTACTTCCTCTTGGCCTTAATTACACTGGCCTGTTCCAGGAATTCAGTTAGTAAAATCGAGGGAAGTAATAAACGGTGCGATCGTGAAGGCAGGGCAAAAAAAAAACAAAACAAAAACAAAAACAAAACAAAAAAGACGCATGACGCAACCCGGCCCAGGCCTCCTTTGTGTTGTCCTTCCTCCGATACTTTCGCACCTTTCACTACCGCGCTTCGTTTTACTTTCTAAAGGCCTGGAATTGAGCTGGCTCTACCTATACTGCCCTGATGGCTACAGTCCATACATAAAGCGTCACACATATTTATCATAACTGCCCAGTAGGAAGGAAAATAATTGAGTTAAGGAAATAAAAATGCACCCAATGTCTCGAGTGAAAGAAAATGTCCTTATTAACGTTTATAAAATCAACATCGTTGACGTTATCGTCATAATTATTATGACATTCGACTACCGTCTGAATCAATCATCTTTCAGGTCGAAAAATCAAAAGCATTGGGGAGAAATTCGAATCTACTTTCAAAAAAGAGAAAACAAAACGCTACATGGATCTGCTGACAGATGGAATGAACTGCGCAGCTAAGTTGAAACAGAGTAGTGACCACACAGCCGAGTATTCAAACCACGCCCATTCAGAGACGCGTTGCCATGCCAGTCGCTATGGGAACTCCACTCATTATCGGTCAACTAGGCGCAAGAGGTTTGTGGGTAAAATGATGTGCGAGAAGCTAGCTAAGAAGGCTTGTACGATGGCAAAAGATTTGTGTAAAGGTAAGAAGGAGATAATCTTCAGTGTCAGCTAATGATGCGAGAAACATCAAAATTTGAAAGACAGACCTATAATCAATGTCAAGCCATTTAGATAAGTTTTGAAGATTAATGGTGAAGCTTCGCTTAAAATCGTTGGTGAGGCTGCTTTGCCCAAACGTCGAAGGTAATATTGAGCCCTAAAGGAAACCATACATCTTTGTACCTTGTAAATAAATATCCTTGCTACGTCTCTCAGTTAGCAAGTGCACGTTGATTGGTCAATTAAGCCGGCTGTATTTCACCGTACGGCCCCGGCTAAATTTAAAAAATTTCTTTAAATTGAAATCTTCTCTCCCTATTTGAACCCGAAAATATAATAAATATCTTAAAGTAACGGAACCTGAAATTTATGCGCGGATTTATGGTCAACGCGCTTCTGCTGGCGCATGGGCCATAAATCTGAACGGATAAAGCTCAGTCTCGGAGGTTGCTGAGAGGTATATCAGTCTTTGACAAAACTTCAATATTTAAACTAACTGCAGACTATGGTTTTAATTCTTTGAACCGTTGCTTGCTCACCTCTCTGAGAGCCATAAAGTCTAGCAGACTATTTAATGACATAACTACATACAATTTTTTTCCAGGCTCCTGTAATGTTGTCGGCCACATTACCAAAGGAATGTGCCAGGCGCTCGACCTTGCCGTTTACGGTCTTCACGTGCTGGAACAAAAAGCGTACTGGGCCGAGCAAGCTGTCGTAAAAGCGGCTAAGAATATGCTTGTTGTTCACTCGTTATCATTCGAGACTCACCTAACATCCACTCCTCTTGATTCTACCGTGTCTCTTGGGGCTGATGTTAGCATTTTTGGCTCTAGGGGGCAGTTTAAACTAGAATTTAATCTGGCTGATCCCCTAAAGAATGTTCATAAACTGGCAGACACAGCTCTGGAGTTCTTTAAGAAGCTGTTTAGTCCTCGACCTTCCAAGGATGTTTATGATAAGCCAGCAGAAGAATCTGATTTCGAATTTTCAGGTGTGTGTGCAAGAAAAATACATCCGTAGAAATTTCAAAAACGAAGGATCTATTGCTGGCTAATAGAAAGACAGACAAGGAGACCGGCTGATTTAATGGCCGACTGATAGACTGACTGACTGACTGAACCACTGCATGACTTACGGACTGACGGACTGACTGATTTCTTGACTGACAGACTTACTGACTGATTTCCTGACTGACCGACTACCTGACAGACGTTTTATTAGATATTTAACTGATAGACGCTTAACTGGCCGTCCGAATGATTGAAATAAGTTCGCTGGTTGAGAAATTCTGGTCTGTGGTTCTGATTGACAGAGAGATAATTAAGTTGTTCTGGCCTCTTCTTAAAAACACTTAAAACTTATCCAATGTAGGTGAATTCCGAATCCAGATGAATGGCACGAAGGATTGCTTGTCTACTCCTGCTAGCGCAAAAGTTGGTTCTCCTGTGACTTTGGGCTCCTGTGATGGGGATGTGTCCCAGTGGGTATTTACACTCACAGGAGGATTGATGGTAGGTCTTGCTACAAAGTAACCAATGGAAGGTCTGCAAATGGGATACGAACTAAGAGTGGTTTAATTTTTTCTTCTAACTGATCTTAAGCTATGCCGAAGTTTGGGAGAGGGTTGCTCTGCATCTATGGGTCACTTCCTTTTTTTCTTTTTGACTGAGGAAAAAAAACGCCAAAAACTTAACCTTAAGTGAGATTTCAACGTGAAATGTTTTAAAGTTCTTTCCTGACACTGCTTTCATCTCGCTGATTTCACTTTTGCATTCATCAGAATGTCAAGTCTGGTCTGTGTGCAGCTATGGGTTCAGATCAAGGTCAAGCTCTTGTGTTACAGCAAGCTTGTGACGTCACCTCTGAGGAGCAGAAGTTCACTTGCAACGGCACTAAGATTACACCTGTGAAGGATTCTGGATTGTGCGTGACGGGATCTGGTAATAACTCATTCAGTTATGTAAAATAATCGATATACTGGGAGCACGCTAAAACTTCACTAACTCTATGGTCTAGTAAAAGCAAGATATCGCTCCTTCAATCGAGAAAAATACAAGAGAGAGTTTGCACTGCATGAACCAAACGCTTTTGGTCTATTGCCTGTGGTAGGAAGCTTACGCGTGTCTGAGCTCCTTATGAGACTTCTTGGAAATAGCATAACAAAACAATCTAATTCATATTTATGTTCCAATTATTTTTGACCATTTCTTAGCGGGAAAAACAGGATCAGGTGTAGTAGAAGCCAAGTTGCTCAAGTGTGACGACAAAACCGTGAAGGATGAGCAGGCCTGGATGATATATGATGATCCTAGGGCCCTCTCGGTTTGCGACAAACATGTTCCTGGTGAGTTGTTTTACTATCATGGCTTAAGAATTAATGTTAAAGAAACAGGAAAAAGAAAGGGAAGTGGGAAAATGATTGAAAAATTATATTCATTGCCATTAAATTTGACGCTGATGAATGTTTACCAATTTAGACATTGCTCTTGGAAAGCCCGCCCTGCAATCCAGTTTGATGTCCGTTGATGAGTTACAAAGTGAGTCCAAAGGCAAGAAAGTAAACATTCCTGGGGTGGGCCCAGAACTGGCTGTGGATGGTAACATGGCTACAGAACCTTCTGCAGGCTCCTGCTCGATTACGGCCATTGAAGTTGACCCATGGTGGAAAGTGGATCTGCAGAGCGAGCACATTGTTACAGATGTGAATGTAGTCAGCTCATCTGGTAGGCGTTATTAGATCGAGATTTAAACATCTTGCTAAATGAAGCTTTGATGTGCGTTTAAGGGTTTGTTGGTTATCACCTTGCTCTGTCTTCAGGCGAAGTAGCAAGCTCACTTTTGAACCTTCTCAGTCGCTTGTAAATCAATGTCTAATGAAAAACTTGCGCTGTAACAGCCTTCATTGACCAACACATTCTCTATGATTTGCCATGAGAACGAAACCAGCAAAAAAGTCCAAGAAAGCCTTTCAACCAGGAGCTACCCGAAAATCTTTAGTGACAAAATGCGAGCATATGCTACATACCAGAGCGCAAATTGCGACATGCTGCTTGCAATCTCCTGTTCTTGAAGACTTCCACCTTAAGATCTCAATATCAAATATGTCTTCCTGTACTTGTTGGACAGCCAATACCTCTCTCCGTTCATAAATTACCTTTTTTTCAGGCAATTTCTCGAGTCCATTGTCAAATTTTGAAGTTCGCGTCGGAATCCTGAAAGATCACAAACAGAATCCAATGTGCGGGGACCAAGTCCGACAGCTGGCGGAGGGGGAGGTCTGGACAGCAGAGTGCAAGGTGCCGATCCCAGGTCAATACGTCTCTGTCAGTATGGTAGGCAAAGGATACTTGGCGATATGTGAAGTGGCAGTTTTCGCGAGATTAGGTGAGCATACAAAAATTGTACCTATTAGTCTAATGGCAATTCTCAATTGACTGACGAAAGTAATCCGCGTTTTTTTTTTTTTGCTCTACTTTGCACTCTAATTGATAAAGAGACTCTTGTTACCACTTAAACCAATCAAATGGGGAAACTTCACCAATCCTGCTTGGCCTCACTTGTTTTCCCGCACTTCAATCAGTTTGCTTTGCTTTAATTGGAAGTCTCATTGGCTTGTGATATTTTCCTTTTTTCTGGATTGGCCGTTGTGATAGTAACGGTTCTGGTTTTACGTCACACATTACGTAACCCGCGTGGTTTTCTTAATCTTCTATTCCTAGATGATAAGGGAAAGTGCAGCTCAGAACTAAGCCGAAAGAGAGATGAAATAACTTACTTTTCTCCTGAGGATATGATCACAAACTGGAACAGATTCTAAGGAATAACAACCAAACCATCTCAAGAACTTGTGCAGTGTTTTCCAGTTTCCTTCATCTTCCATTAAATATGGCATTTACCTTAATCTGTTTAAGTTTTGTTTTTATCTGCCTTGCAAAAAGACACAGACGACGGTTTGGTACCTTGCTCATCACAAAACAAACCACAAAACGCAAATTGCATCTTGCCACATGTATTTTGAATTAAAGAATTACATTTGATGGGAGAGTGTCATTGTGTTTTATGATCTTAACGTCTTTTACTTTTGGGGGGATCAAACTTATCCAACTTGGCCAGTTTCACAAGTATCTTATTGAACGGACGGAAGAACGAGCACAAACGATTGGACGAGCGGACGGAGGAGCTGACCGACGAGCGAACGGACGAGCAGACAGACGAGCAGATGGACGAGCGGACGGACAGTTAGATGGCGAGCAGACGAACGAGCTGACGGACGGGCAGACGGACGAGTGGATGGACGAGTGAAGGCACAAAAGAACGAACGCACGCACGGACGAAAAACAAACAAACGGACGGACGCACAGGCGGACAAATGGACGGAGAACGAACTAACGAAAACACAATGCAGAACAGGACGAAGGAACGAACAATGAACGAAAAACTCAACCAAAACACAACACACAAACGGACGTCAGAACTTATGAAAATAAACATCGAACGGAACGAATGCACGAACGGACGAATGAATAAACAAACAAATACACGAACGAGCACACAAACGAAGAAGCGCACGAACGCTCGACCGGACAAATGAACGAACGGATGCTCGCACAAAGTTAGTGAACGCAGCACAGACGTACGCACGAACAAAGTCAATGAACGAACACACGGACGTAAGCACGAACAAAGTCAATGAACGAACATACGGACGAATGAACGAGAGCTCTGAAGGAAAAACAGACGAATGATTAAAAAAAAAGGAAGCAGATGTACGAACAGACGAATTGATGGAATGAAAAACAGACGAATAAATAAAAGGACGATGGACAGACCAATGAACTAACTAAAAAGTGGAAACCCGGACTGAAGAACGAGGTGGCGGAAAGAAAACAGAAGAATGAAGAAACGCACGGACGAACGATAGGGCACTCCGACACAAACAACTGAAAATAAACTGAAAGACAAGCACACGTATGGGCGAAGAAATTGGCGAAGTCTGAGTTAAGAAAGGAATGTTTAAGTGAAAGGAGTCAGTGATATTTCGACGCAAACCCATAACAATATATTATAGTTTTATTGTTATCCATGGATCATCCATCATCCAATTTATTAAAGCTTTATCATCATCCTCGATTTGTCCACGGTGAAAACCCATGGACAAACCGAGGACGTTAAAACCTAACAGTATTACTGCTCGGGAGCAATGAGTTTGTACGCAAATGTATGCTTTGTAAGGTTTATTTCGAAATTGTTACCGAAGACAAAGTTATACAGAACTACAGTAAAATTACAGCCAACCAAATAATTCTTATACTCTAAATAATCCGAGGTATATTTCTAAAAAAAATTTTTCCCGCGGGCCACCTAAAAGTTTACAAAGCAGCCAACACGAAATAAAATCACCACTGAAAGATAAATACACTCCTTACATATCTTTCTCTTTCTTTTTGTTAAGGTTTTATTTATATCATGATAATTATTTACATAATGCTTTGAGAGACTGATGCAATGAGCAATTTTTTTCCCCTAGGATCTCACTATTACTTCATCGTAGTAACTGCCACTCAAACAAATTCCACGTCACCTAACCGTTTAACTCCCACGAGTGACAAACAGAATTTCTCCTTACAAGATCAATACAATAACAAGCAGAAAATTGATGAGAAAAAGAAAAAAAATGCCAATTAGGGGACTATTACTTGATCCAATACCAAACTCTCCAAACTAATTTCAAACGAATTTTATAGCAGACAGTAAGGAGAATCACTTTTAAGATCTTGGGAGTAAAAGTGGTAACGGAATGATATAACAAACGCCTCCTTCAGTTAACAGCAATCTCCATTCTCACCACATCTTTGCTTGACAATGTGTAAATACGAGTAAGGAGAATTTGCACCTTCATACACGAGGCTAGATTTACCATAATAATTTGAATGTGTTTCAAAATATAGAAACAGCAATGATTTGGTTGTATGCTACAATTCACACCATAACAGCATGAAACTGCCTGAACATACATGCCCTGTTTTGTTCATTGCAAAGTGTGATAGCTGCGACAGTTAATGAACAGCAAACACCCAAAGTGACAGAACCCTTGTTGACAGAATGTAGTCGTCCAAGAATCTGATTCTTGGACGACTACATATTTTTCCCTTACATACCACGCGAGAGCCAAACTCTTGTTAAATCTCTTTGCAACATTCACCTCTTTTGGTCTCTTTAATTAAGCCCAGTAACCATAGAGACTGTGTTAGGATGACAAATTTTGTTATGTGTTCCACAGGGGAATTTTAGCCTAGTTTACAAGGTCACAGACTGAAAAACAAAGCTTAAGGATACCAAACCTTCCCGCAAAAACTTAGAGATTTTAGTAGAGGGTGCCAAAGGGTTTATAAGCGAAATGTGATAAGGCCAAAATTAATGCGAAGTATGAATTTTACAAAAGAAGATCAGCATGATTTGTGGATTAATGATCCATTTGCCTCCTGAAATGTAAGCAACCTGTGAACTTTTTGTTCATTTGGTGAAAACCTCAAGATTTTTTCTGAAACCTCACACACAAGGAGAGAGATTTGAAGTTTTCCAATTTATGTACATGAGATGATTTATGAGGTGTGATTATGAGGTGTGAAAAATCTGAGTGTGAACCTGGAATCAGGATTCCCCCTTTGCTACCCTCTTGGTACAGGAATACTGGCAAAATAAGATTTCATAGACTGAGTCAGCCTGATTTGTCAACGTCATACTGATGGGACCTTAATTGTGCAAAAGTTCCCCCTGTACACCCTCAAACCAGACTAACAAAGGTTAAACCCATTTGAATGTCAGTTGGAGGCTGGCTGGATTGCAGTCTGACAAACAAGCTGGTCTTAAATGAAGCAAACAAGTATAAAAAAAACTCTCTCTTTAGATATAGAATGGGAGGGGATAACAAACATTTTCAACTATGTCTTGGAGGCTGCACTATGTACATCTTATCTTATGTTATATCCATTTGTAGTGGGCAAGTCAAACGCTGTCTGGGGTGTTCAAATCATGGAAAATGCAGAGGCTGTTGCATCTGAAAACAAAAACCAAACAAATATTTAAATTGTATAAATCACTTCAACCTAAACAAATTATGCTGATTAATTGATTTAGCTTTGTTAAAACAGACCATTGCATTGCATCAATCTTGAGTGGCACCATATAATCAAGACTTGTGTTACATGCTGTGCACGTTCATCTGTTTTTCACAGAATGCACTGAGCATCCAATTCATATCTTAAGTTCCTTTTGTAAAGATAATAATCCTATCATGGTAGCAGATGCTGTATCAACTTGCTTTTCCAAAGGTTTTTTGCTTGTTTGTTTGTCTCTCTATTTCAAGAAGATAATTATTTTTTACTTAACCGACATTGCATTTTTGACAGGAAAAAATGAATGCTCAGAGATAAAATTTGTCCATCTTACCGTTGTCTGATATTGAGGAGAGCTGTAAATTGTCGTTGGAGTTTGGTCTGCTCCAATCATTGAAGGATGGAGGTGAGTACCTAAAAAAAACCACATCAAAAAAAGGCAATGATCATGTCAGTTAATTACCACCAGTGTCTTTGAGAATTGTTACTCAGTTACAAATGTTGACCCATTTACACCTTTGATCCAAACTGTAATACTCCCTAACAACTTCTATCCATTTTCTTGTAAATTAGTGGAGAATTTGGTTTTACATCAAAGTAACATTCTCTTCTTTATACATGTGTGTATTCTCATCACCCTTCTGTTGAATAAGATTTTAAATTAAGTGGAGAATTTAAATTTTTATCATTTTCTCACCTGCCACTTGAAATTGATGCACAGCATGTTCCTCTTCATCCACCTCTCCTTCTCTTACATCGGTACCAATAGCTGACTTCTCCCCTTTGATCGACTGCAAGAAGTGTACATGGAATTAGCAAAGCAAAGAACAGAGTTACAATCACTGCCCCAAAGCTAAACATTTTGGTACAAAACCTAGTGCTGTGGCTATCAATGCTATAACTACTGGAAAATTTGCCCAATGAAAAAGTGGAGATCACCTATTTTTCTTTCTTTTTGGGCTAGCAATTGCTCAGCAGCAAAGTTGTCACTTGTGAAGTCATGCACAACACTGACCTACAATCCATTTGCTTTGACCTTCCATTAACATCTCTACTGGGTTTGAGATGTCAAGGAAAAAATTACATAGAAAATGACCTGACAGAGAACAAACACTGCCTCAAGTTGGAAGGAGATTGGAGACACCAGGGTTCGGTTTATCAAGGATAACGTTGCAAGAAATCCTACAACAAATAGGCTTAATGAGCTTGGGAACCAAGTAACAGTATCTGTACTCAACTGTATTAAGAACTAAAGGGACTAAGTTCCTAAAGAAACTGTGGTGCAGCATCAGTGAAGGAGTAAGCACAATATGAATTGGCCACAATTAAGTGTTTCTAAGGCTTTACCAACTCTTTACTGTGGCCAATCTACATTATCAAGTCATCAGTTGATATTATAGATAACTGCCATGTACAACATACAAAACGTAAAAAGTACAACTTACTTCTCTGTACTTCTGTAAATAGAGCTTCAAAGGTTCCACATAATTATCAAATCCTAAAGTTTGCATGGCAAACAAAATATCTTCTCCATTGATTGTCTTGCGTTTTTCTTGATGGCATCGTTCACTTGCCCTGTGCTTCAGTTAAGGTCAGTTTGATTTTTATCATATGTCAACATTCACAGAGTACTATAGTATTTGTGGAGGGGAAAAAGTTCTTCCAGCAAACAAATAAAACTGAAAAACTAGAACCCCAGTGAACAAAATAGAGACATGAATTAAGGCGTAAAACATTTCACGCTGACATTTGAGGAATTATGCTCCACACCTATCTTCTTTAACTACATAGTAGTTACTTAAAAGGAAAAATAGAGTAAATGGTTTTAACCTAGGACTAAGGTACACCGAGTCTGATTATCCACGTAAGAGAGTTCCTCAGACGGATTGTGGTTGGAAGTGACCAAAGTTTAGACAAACTGAGTACAGGTTATCATCAGCCTCATCATTAGAGTCTTGACAATCATACCATACAATTAACTTATGATTCAATTTCAAGCCTGATTGCCAAAATATGTCTATTTTCATGCTAGCAAGGATACTCGCTGGTTATGAAGCTTATAAATTCTGACACACATTCTTGAACGCATTCTTTGGCATCCTTAGCAATCTGGAATGAACAAATAAATGTACAAAGTCAAAATGTACAAGATTTAAAAGAACCCTGGGCTATCTGGGGCCAACACTGCAAGAACATACCCTAGTTTCCCTAGCTTTTGACTATTAACCCCATTAATCATAACCAATACAATTTCCTCAAAAGTGATCAGTGCATTAGCTGCTTTATTTTTTTACTTTCATCACTCTGCAGAGCGTAATCAGAAGAGTAATCAGACAGTTGAAGCAGTCAATCATACTTAGTCCTTTAAAGCAAATCCACCAATCACAGAATTGTTCACAATAACCAATGCAACAACCACTTATCAAAAAAATAAAAAAAAGGAAAAAAAAGCCGTGAAATTTCAAAAATTAAAGAATATTTTACTTCAGACATTTTCTCTTACGGAGATATTTGTCCTATACATATTTGTTGTCTTCAGAAATTGTAATGGTTATGATTAATCAGTAACATGACTTTGTGTCATCCAATTCCACCAGTAATCATACTTGTGATTAACAAATCATCCTCCCACTTTGCGGTCATCCAATTTTGTTCATCACTCATACATTACAGACCAAATTGAACTCCACTTGGTCCTAATACCATTATTAACCCCTAAAAGTGCACAATTAGCATCTAATTTCTTCTTACAATATCACCCCTGAATCAAACATTCAGGTCATGATGACAAACCAACTGATCACCAACTAAAGAAACTATTGACTGTTAGACAAATTCTCCTTGTCAGCACCCTATGAAATGTATAGAGAACAATAAGGAGAATATGTATACTGATATTTAAGTGTAAAGGGTTTTAAAACAAATTCTCCTTGTCAACACCATTAACCATGTAACAAGCAAAGTGAAGAGAATATGGAAATTGATGTAAGGGTGTAATGGGTTGAAGGCTGCCCAATTGTGTTCGTTATCACATTGAAAGTTTAATTATATATATTAATACCTTTCCTGTCTTTGGAATGGACTTCTTCATTATTCTGGCCACATTTGCAATTGGTAGAAACCGATCCTGAAAAGGATTAAAAAATAATAATAAATAATATATAACTGCAGACTCTTCTATGATAAATTAAAGTCAAGACCAGCCAGCCAACTCTTAGAACCCACAATTCACACAGAAACTAAAACATTGAATACAAAAGGATAAATCAGATCACACTGTGGAGATACAAAATCAGTAGTACAGCAGTACATTTACATGCACATTGGCTGTTTAGCGAGCAACAAGCAACTGGGATGTCAATAGCAGCTTCACTGTAGCAAGCAAGTAGATCAATCTACCTGCTTGTAATGTGCATGAAACCTGCTTGTAGCCTTTACATTAATGTCTTTTAACCCCTAACATACATATGTATATACTTCTATTAAAGTCTTGCTGAGTCAACACCTTCAAAATTTCACAGGAGGGGCCATGACCTCCTTAGGAAGGGGTGGCCCTCGCGACAATCATAAATACCAATTTGAACTAAGCTGTGTTGAAACAAGAGAAGTCATCAGGAGTGTGCTCTTTATGACTCACAATAAGAAGATAATGAAGGAAAAAGTTGACAGTATTTACAAGCATAATGGCTCGTGTTAGCAGAGTGTGTACATTTGTATCCCTGTTTAAAAATCAAGAAGCCACTAAGATTGTGTATTAGTTTTCCAGCCCTCAGCACAACTAACACTGACATTCTCTCAAGTTCCCAAACAGTTTACCAGTATTGGACAAATTGCAACTGTGAGCAGCTCATATCATCAAAGGGCATAAAGTAGAAAATACCAGCAGTACTTTTAACTCCCCTTCCTTAGAAAATCAGAAGGATACATCAAACTTGCCTACAAGTGTTTACATGCCTACACAGTCTTGCACCTGCCTATCTTTTGAATGAATTTAGCTCCTGCCATTATCATGCCAACAATACCAGACATAGAGACCTTATATGATTACCCTGGCTAAAACATCAAAATTTTAAGGTTCCTTTTTTTTGCTACAAAGGTGCATAGGCGTGGAATACTCTGATTAGTAAACTAATAAACAACTTCACCACCCAATTTTAAGAAACTTCTCAAACTTCATTAAGTAACTGATGCAATGTACTCTGTATGTAACATAAATTGTATATCTTATGTGTAGATTGTAATTTGTGTTGTGGGCTCCTTTTGTATCTTATATTTCTAAATACATGTTGTTTTAACCCTTTAACTCCCAGATCAAATTTGTAATTCTCCTTACCATCAACAATACAATTCTTATAGCGTTAGTTCAGAGAATTTAGTATTGGATCAACTAATTATCTCCAAATTTGATATTTTTCTGTATTCTCATCACTTATCTGGTTGATATTGTATTGATATTGTAAGGAGAAATTCTGTCATAGTCACTCATGAGAGTTAAAGGGTTAAGTAATATATCTTAAGCAGGCCCTCATTCAAATCAGCTTGAAGCTTTAGAAACTGGGCCAGCCTGCATAAATATTGCTAATACTGGTAAATAAATAGATAAATCCATGACTTTGTGAAAACTCTAAAGCGGAGAGAGGCAAAGGGTCTTTCCCAAGTGAACAACACAATGCCCCCGCCATGGCATAAACCCAGACCCTTGGACCAGATCTGTGCATTGACCACCGGAGAGCTAGCAAATATCTCTTAACAAATTACCTGCTCTCTAAGAATGTCATCACGCTCCTTCTCGTCACCATCCACATCATGAACCCCAGTGTCTTCTGCTCCTGTTAAGGTGCAAAGGACAACATACTTTAGCATTGTAAACTTGATGTACTAACAATTATTTTGATTTCATTTTTTTTTTTTTTTACTACAACTAGCAGTAATGTCACAATCCGAATACAGACAATGCTGCTTGCATCAACCTGTCATTCATTGGTCACGCACTGAAAGAATCATTTTATTTGAAATCAATACTGTAATAAAATACAACAGACAGTGGTTTAGTGATCTGTATTCTTGTTGACAACAATATTCTTCATCACAGTGGTCAAAATGTTGTGGACTCACAAGACCCAAAGGTGCAAAGGACAACAAGTTTTGCACTTTTGTACTAATAATTATCTTGTAATTCATTTTCATCAATATGGTTAGAATTTTGAATAAAACCCTACAGTGTGGCATTTCAAACAAAGCTTTTATATACTATTCACCTGAGCACATTCAGTTTTTAACTACACATTTCATGCAGAATAAGAAAAATGGTAAGTTTTGAGCTTAGTAAAGAAATAGAAAAAGATGCTTTCATGTCTTATCACAAGCCTGGGCAAAGAAAAAGTTCCAAGTCTCCATATTCTATCATATTTTTATATATCATAATTTATATATTATATTTTGCAAATATTATTTACAAAACATAATGCTATTGACATCACTGATCCTAGCAGTTTATACAGGATGGGTGTCATATATGAACTATGTAATGGTGATTGCTCACCATAGAGTATCTGCGGCTCAGTGGCAGAGCATCAGAGCGTGGAATGCAAAGGTCTGAGGTTCCTCAAGGGCACTCAGATTTCTTCTTTGTCCCACGCTCATGATGAAACGAAAAAACATATTTTTCTAAGTACATTTCCTACAATTAATCAAAATTTGTGATTAAGAAAATCCTCTTTCCTTTAAACAGATGGACCAGGAATACATGGAATGATGTTGTCCCAATATTCAAGAAAATCAAGGAATTCTTTTGTTGTTCTGAAGATCAAGTTTTACTCCTCACAGTTCAAAACTGAACTTCATAGATTTCACCCTTTGCATCATTTTGCAAATATAGTAAGAAAATCTTGACAAAACCAATTTTGAAAATGTGGGTAAGCCATAAATAATTTTACTTGTGGTTAAAGTTAAATGAAAAAAATGCACTATGGAGTCTTTGGATATGCTTGAAAATTCTTGTAATTTGTTCCCAAAAGCAAAACCAACAATACCAATTCATAACAGGAAGATTATCTAGGAAAACCAAAGATGAATTTTTCTTCAAATCAGAGCCAGTTTTACTGACAAGATTGCACACACAATGAACACCACAAAGCTGCTCTCAAAACTGATTGGGAAGCATCAAAGATTTGCCATCACTATTGGACAGGAAGAAAATTTTCTTATTTCACAGAATAACCCTTTAGAACATAAACTCCATTAGAAGATGATTGGAAGTATGTGGAAAGTTCTTTGAATTATTGGTGAACCAGGACAAATTCATCAAAAGCGACAGCCAATGAGGAATGTCTCAATTCACCTTGCTGAAAAAAACTCCTACAATGTGCCAAACAAGGCACAGCACAAAATGCTGAAAAAACAGACGGAACACTAACCTTTTGGAAATGCAAAAGGGTTAAAAGGTGGTGGAAAATTTGGATCAAATGGCATCATCGGATAACCGCCACTATACCCCATGTTCATATTCATGATTCTGGGAATTTCCAAATACGTTTACTATCCTTTTCAGCCTTGAAAATTTAATCAAGGGAGCCTAATTACTCAATTAGGCCTTTGAGAAATTGTATCAAGAAAGTTTATCTGATGAAAACAAATTAGTACTTTTATTGCAAGACCTTATTGGCCAGTTCTGATGGAATGCCCTATTCCTTACACTGATTTATTGTATTTTGTATGTAATATATAATTCATACCACAGTGGGTAACAAATGTGATAATTTTAGGCACAAAGCACTAACATACATGTAAACTAAACAAGTATATGCTTACTTTGACTGTAGTTTCTTCTGGACTTTTAACATTTATATTTGGTTACTAAAGCTTTTAAATAGTTTTACACAAATAGAATATCACAGTAAGAGAGTACAGTAACGAAAATTAACAAATATTTATTTAATTTATTCTGAAAAAGAAAGAAAATGTTTTACAGAGACAATCATCAAATTTTTATAAGAACACAATGCACCATAACTGCAGATGGAATTAAATATTTATAGCAAAATAATCTAGGAAAAAAAGCTTTCCATGCAGGAAACAAGATATATTCAAAAACAAATATTTCAAATCCTTTAATATTCCTGCCAGCAACACACTGTCAGACAAAATAAAAGGGAAATGAAAACTTCATAAAGCACATGTCAACTGAACTGCGTCCAAACATGAAAAAAAAAATTCCTTGGGTAAAAGAAATTAGTTTAGATTATTGCGAGATTTAAAAATTAGGAGTGAGTTTACATTGTTCACTGAGGAAGAAAGCCATTTTTTATACAAAACATTGGGAATTTTGTAAAACTAAAGGTTTAAGAAATTAAGACTCTGTTTTAGAAGCAAAATTACTGGCACACTGGAATTTTTAATTATAAAAGTACAAGTCTATTTTAATATCTGTAGAGGAGACTTTCGAAATAAAAAGGAAAAAAAAACCAGAATCATTTCTACTGCAACTTATATTTATAAGGAAGGAGTCAGGGTAGTTTCCAATTGCCAGACAGACATCAACCCTAGAAACAACCAATTAAATGTATGCACTGTGTTAAAGTCAAACACTTTGTTACATTGGTTGATCTTTCCATGAAGATCCCAGATACGATGCCACACTGTAGACATGTTAAATTTTTCAACTTGCTTATTTGAAATCAGTGTCACTCAATTATATCCAGTCATCCTTAACCTTTTAACCCTTTAGCTGATAAACATATAACTTCTCCCCATAAATCTATACATTTTACAACAAACAGGTAATAAGAATAATCAAACTCATCAGGTAGAAGTGTTTATCATGATCTAAAACTTCATTCTCATACCACATTTACAAGGAAATGTGTAGCAGCTGAAGGAGAGAATTTTTTATTAGACTTAGGATTTAAAGACTAGGATCAATTAATTTGCACATTTCTATATGAACCCAATGCAATTAAGGTGATCAAGTCACTTTCTGATAAGATTTTGGGAAAATGTTTGGTTTACCACTTGTAACCAAGTCACAATTTAAAAGAGCACTATTTCTGCAGGGTGGGGAGGGAAAGGAACAAATGTTAACTAAATATGACACTTGTTTACATGAAAACCCCAGGCCTAAAACCATTTATGTCTGAAGAATGAATAACATTTCCTATTTTATCTAATTTTGCACCTGCTGTTGTTCTTCTAAACCCCTATTCCTATTTCTAGGCAGAGTAAATAGTGGCACTTGTTGCCTGTAAAATTTACTTAACAGTCTTAACCTGAGTTCAGGTAAGGTAACAGGAATTTAAAGAGGATATAAATAACATTTTTCTTTCAATATTTTCACAGTGAAATTCAATTATTTCCAAGAATCCCATGGAGGCTGAAGAATTGGCAGCATAGCCATATTAAAAACATTCTCTCTACAAATCCATCATTTTGTACAATCAATATCAGTCTGTCAAAAATTAGGAAATTTAAAGCTGAGAAAGAGTGCAAGAATGCAATTTTTCTTAAACAGCCAGGTAGATTTAGAATCAATTTAGCAATTCAGCTACGAGGTACTTTTTTTCAAACCAAAAACTTAACCATGGGAGAAAGTTTGCCAAGTCTTCAAATTTTTTCAAGTTCTCTATTGTTGAGCTTCGTGATCGTGAAATTGAATTAAACTAGAGATAAATTTTCTATGAAGTGATATTTCTTGCAAATTTGGCGGCAGAATATTGACACAGAATCTTTCCACAAGAGATATTTTCACATCGAGGTAACTATCCCAATAAGTTCCGTTAATATTTGGTTAAACTCTAGATAATGACACGATAAAAGTGTATCTAGTTCTTTAACTGACAGAACATGGTCGAATGCGAAATATCTGTTTTGTAAAGCATAAAGTTTTCAAGGATTTCTTCAACGGAAATTGAATATAAACAAGAACACGAAATTGACAAGATACCATTAAAAAGGCCGCTAAAATCAACACCTTTCCAGACCTCGTAATTAAGTTAACTCTAAATGCATCACGAGAGGTAATTAGCTTGTAAAATACTGCAAACAAATATAATTTTTGTTTTCTTACCCTCGTGGTCTTCGTGCTGAATGACAAATTGAGTCGGTAGAGGCCCTGGTAACCCATAATCAGCGGGCATTGCTGTTACAACGGTATGTGTTGCTTCATCTCCTCGATCTACGGCCGAGGTGTTTGTCAAACTTCCATCTACGACTCCCACATCATCTGAAGCCGGTACAACTGCGACTTGAACGCCACCTGGTACATTGGAGATGGAGAGGTGTCCACGATCATCTCCTAGACCTACATGTGTTTCGTTTTGGACTTCAGGTCTGTTCTCGATCACTTGTTGAACGCCATGTCCGTTTGGAACAGTGCTCCCTTGAGCGTAAGTAGCTAGTCCTGGTTGGGCAAAGCTAGCTTGTCCGCTGTCAGGAGGTTGAGTGTTTAGCCCATCTGTACTTTCGTTTCTCGCCTCCTCAACGCCCTCCATAAGCTAATGTCGATGTTGAGACAACGCACTGGAAAAGCCATTTTCAAAATAAGAAAGCAAAAGTAAGAATGTTATTTGGCGTTAAGTGGTTTCAAACCCTCGCCTCCAAAACAAAAAATAGCCACGGGGGCTATTTGACTGCTTAAACCTCCCGGAAAAAACCGATGTAAACAAATTTTGAAGTCAAATTTGTGAGCGAAACCGCGGCGGCACGTCTCGTCGCGAATCTTCGAAACGCTTCGAAAAGTTCAAGTGAAAACCGTGGAATCTCAATGGCAAGAAATGTTATTGGTGGAGGGCGTGAAGGTAAAACAAACCTTTCTCGATTTTTTGTTGGCTGGCCGGTGTTTCGTTTGAGTTAGAGTAGCCAACGAAAATGCGAGTAGCAGATCGCACACGAGTGGCTGTTCGCTCCCTTTCTTCACCACTCACGAACGAGCTACAAGAGTAGAACTTCCACACGCAGTGATCACACGTCAATCAATTCAGCCAGCTGTTACAACTAACCAATCATAGTCGCGTATATACGAACTTTTGTTCCTTTTCACCAATCAGAGCTTGTTTGAAACACAACACTGGTTTACATTGCATAAATTACTTTCGCTTTTGTGAGTGTCTTGTGAATTTCCTTGTCAAATTCACGACAATTTTAGGCTACAAAATGCGTAATTATCATAAAAAGATCGTCGATTTTAGAAAGCAGATAGCAAAATTGTCTGATATAGCTCTCAAATTGAGATAGGGCTTTTACAAGTTACGTCGCAATCTGTTTCTTTATTTACCACAGTAAATTATGCATGATGTTTGTGGAGATGTTGAAATCGAAAGGAGTACCGCCAATTTAACCTTTTGTCGGCTCTTTTTGGATATTTTTTTACAATATATATTTAAAAGAAAAAAAACTTACTGTATCTAAATATAGCTTCAAAAACCCCCCTCAAAACGACTTCTCGTCTGAAAAGTTCTTATTTTAAGCTCTTTTTAATTTTATTTTTGAAATATGCGACAAAATAAAAATAGGAGAAAAGGAAAGCGAGCACATGTGTGAATTCACCTGTCAAAACCAAACAAAAATTAAAAAACATATCTGTGAAAGTGGTGGGTGGGATGATTCCAATGACCCCAATGCCATCAAAACTATTCCAAGGCTTCATTTCGCTGTGTTTATTTATTTTTAAACCTGGAGACTGAAAAAGGTCGCAGTTGTCTTTTCCTAAATCTACGTTCACGAAACCAAGCAGGTTTACTAAAAATATATAATAACGGAGATTGTCTGAGCAACGATTTTAACAGATGCATTAGACAAATGCAAATGTTGATATTGTTGGATCACAAGAGTGCATAAATTATCATTCAGAGGTCATGAAATGAGTGAAATGAACGGTGAGGAGTGGTGTTTGCCATAGCAGGCGGAGTTTCAAATGTTTAATTAAGCACAAAAAAAGAAAAAAATAAATGAAAACGATACAGGATACACTTTTTGTAAATAGTACAAGAGAGATGGTAAGTTTGAGCTTTGAGCTCGATGAAGAGGGACCCGGAATCATTTTTTTTCTTTCTCCTACGCTCGTGGCAAATCGAAATACTTCTCTCCTTACTTCTTTACCGAGCTAAAAAAACTAACCATTTCTTTAATTCTATTTACAAAAAAGACTCTATCTACATCGCTGATCCTGGCAAAATGCAGGACGGGTCTCATATATGAACTTCGTAATCAGTCTTGCTCACCACGGATTCTCTGTGGCTCAGTGGTAGAGCATGAAAATTTTTTCTTTGTCCTAAGCTCGTGACAAGACGAAAAACGTCGTTATCAAAGATACAGGCTGTTTTACTTAACTCCCTGTTCGACTCTTTTTGACCCTTAACCCTTTAACTCCATGAGTGATTCACAGGTAACCTCTCCCTGCAATATCCATACATTCTCCAACAAACAGGTATTGAGAATACTTAGATGTATCAGGTGGAAGTTATTATCTTGATCTAACGCCAAATTCTTGCAACTAATTTAGAAGCAAATGCGTAGCAGCTAGAGGGGAGAATTAACAATCAGATCCTGGGAGTTAAAGGGTTAAACCCTAAGAGACTTCTCATTGCAGTTTACTACTGCTGAATCAATCGTTACGATCACGAGAGTAACTGAATGAAATGATCGCCAACGCAAGAAGCTTTGACTTTGAAAAGATTTCTCTTTGTCAGCACCCAAAGAAATGTATAGATGGGTTAATAATGCAAGAACTCAACGGAAAATCACAGTCTTACCTCATCAGTATCAATGCAGCTTCTTGACAAGACATTACACTTTGTGCAAATATTTGATGAAGCAGGATGACAAAAAATAAACTAAAGGTAACCTACTCTATTTTAAAAACAGATGCTGTTCTTTGATATTTCAGTTAACATTTATTTTTTTAGGCCAAAATAAGAGGAAATAATTCACACTGCTGCAATTAATCCTCATACAAAACATACAAAAGAGGGAGAAACTAAAAAATATCAATGTATCAATTCCATCCAAAATAACAACAGCTCTAACCCTTAATTTGTACCCTAACATCAGTAAGTATATTCTCCATATTGCTCTCTAGACATTTCCCATAGAGTTGACAAGGAGAATTTAATTAACAATCAACAACTTCTTTAGTTGGTGATCATTTGCTCTATACATGTGACATTAATGTGTGATTTGGGGTTGACAGCGTAAAGAGAAATTTAAGTTCCAGTCACTTCTAGGGGACAAAGTGTGAAGTGTCTATTGTATAACTGCTGGTTACATTTAAATCCATCCTAAGCTATCACATGCTATTAGTAAGGCAAAGGGGAATGAAGATAAAGGAACAAAACATAAACAAAAGAAAAAAGAAAAAAGAGAAAACAGAATTAAGATAACTTGACAACCCTCATTTCAATAAGATACATTCTCAATGTCATAAATCAGTGTTTTAATGCTTTACACCCCAACATCAGTAAAAGTAGTCTTCATACTGTTTCCCATACATTCCCTAAGGTGCTGATAAAGAGAATTTGTGTAACAATCAATGGTTTCTTTTGCTCCTAAATTCTCACAAATTAACTGGGGTGATATTGTAAGGAGAAATTAGATGCTAGTCACTCTTAGGGTTTAACAGGTTAATAAAAATGTACTCTTAGCCCACCAGATAACTGTGCAGGGTTTCAATAAAATCCAGTTATCAGCTGGGGTCTCCTGTCTCCTATAAGATCTCCTACTTCCATCCGTGTAGCATGTAGGCAGGCTTTCGTGTTTGGGTTTCAACTGCCTCTTTAACCCTCTACACTCTAACATCTATATAAATTTTCTCCACACTGTTCTCTATACATTTCCTATGGTTCTGACGAAAAGAATTTGTTTAACAATCAAAAGCTTCTTTAGTTGGTGATCATTTCCTTTATTCTCATGACCTCAATGTTTCTTTGATTGGGGAAAATAATAACTAATCACTCTTAGGGATTAACCCTTTAACTCTCATGAGTGACCAAGACAGAATTTCTCCTTACAATATCAGAGGAGTGATGAGAATAAAGAAAAATATCAATTTGAGGATAATTAGTTGATCCAATACGAAATTCTCTCAACTGGCATTATAAGAATTGTATGGTCAATAGTAAGGAGAATGACAAATTTGATCTGGGAGTTAAAGGGTTAAGGGGATGAGTGGTTAAGGGCTCAACTGCCAATAACACCATGAGCAGCCACTTGGAGATGGTTCATGAAACCCCTGCAAAGGAATTTTAAAAAAGAGAGAGTACAAGGATTGGAACTCTTTACTTTTTTTCTAGTTTTTATTTTGTTTTGTCTTGTATTTTTTTCATTTTAACACTTAAGTAGCTCCCAGGCTGTCACACAACTCTGAAACCACTCTATGGCTAAAAAGACAGAAAAGACAGTCACACCGGCTACAGTAACGACAATTTTTATATTTCTTATAATCGCCAAAGAACATTAAGCCAATGTGGCTCATAGTCAAGTTTTTCATTTTACCACTTTTCCTCTGTTCAAAACTTAATTCTTGTATGTTTATATCAGGAGGCTGAGTAGCCTGGTTACTTTAAGATATTGAGAACAAGACAGTTAATTACATTAATGCCTATGATTCATGATGCTAGTCACTCTTAGTAAACTATAAAAATCGTAACCAAAACTTTGTCAATGTAAAAGTTTCAGGATCCCTTGCTGAAAATTAAACAGTACTTTTAACAAGACTTTTGACTGAAGAGGTTGAAATTAGGTGCCAATAAACATAGACTATAAATGCAACATTAGATTCTCCTTGTCTTCCATGAGGAAACACACCAACAATTTGGACTGAGAACTTAACAGTTTATCAGAAATCTCTAACAGGCTTCATCCATGTTCCTGTCCGTTTGTAGTGATATCATAGTTGTCATAAAAAATGTCTGTAAAGACCATGACCAAGAGACCTGTAGTCCAAAGAAAGGGGGAACTTCCTAGAAAATACTTGCCACAGTTCATCAACATACTCAAAAAACAATGCAAACTGGTCTTTTTGCAGTGTTACATCTTTTTTTTCTTTATTATTTAGGGGAGGGGGGGGGGGCCTCATTGTTCATCAGATGCCTCTCTCAAATGAAGAGCTGCCATTCTCTCAATGTCATCAAGGCTCAGAGACCAAACCCATGTCTTGAAATCCTATGTAGAAAATAAAACAGAGAAAACTGTTAACACATAAGCTCAATCCTTTCTACTCTGTTTATGAATCAGTAAGTGATGTTGAATTTATGTAATTGCAAACTTGTTATTACATAAGTATGATAATTATGACCAGGATCAGTTGGAAAATCTTAAAGCGGGTAAGTTACGAAAGAAACTGTGGTTCTGCATTGGTGGAAGACTATAACAGGGTAATTAAGTATTATCAACTGAGTTGATAATGTAAATTTGCCACTGTTAAGAGTTTCAAAGCTGACATTTCAAGAGTTAGCCCTTCCTCAGGGCAAAATATTGAATTATATGGCGAGCAGTAAGGAGAATTACTAATGAGATCTTAGGAGTGAAAAGGTCGATGGCTTCACTACACACTTTCCTGCTAAGGGAATTTTATCAACCAAAAGCTGGAAAATGGTGTCAGTCTGAGGTATTCACAGTTTTCCGAGTCTCACAGCAAACATAAGAGAGGTTGATCAGAGTCACAGATAGAGATTGGTGTGGTGTGTTCCACAAGATTTTGAAACAACAATCTTTCTGGCTTGATTTTGGGAAGCTGGTTACTTCCTTGAAGTGGTCACACAAGGAAGTTTAACTTCTCAGTAAGTACTTTAAGTCTTCATAACCCAACACCAGTCTGTGTATTCTCCATACTGCTCTGTATATACATTTTGTAAGATGCTAACTAGGGGAATTTGTTTAACAATCAAGACCTTCTTTAATTGGTGATAATTTTCTTATTTCTTGCGACCTAATTGTGTGATTCAGGGGTGATATTGTAAGGAGAAATTAGTGTAATAAAATTCCTTTTTCTCAAGTCT